TAGCCACAGGAGGGCAACTTGAGGTTTGCTGCCTTTCTAATATAAAACATTTCAACCATATTTTTAAAGCACCCTATTTAGGCATTTGGCAAACTAAATTCAGTCCTCTTGGAGCTCCATGGTGGCTGCAGTGTACCAAAGGGATTGAATTTAGCTTGGGAGAGGCTAATTTAACCCATGTAACACTGTGTAATGCTATGGAGTGGCTTGCCAGTGAATTTTGGTGACAAAATTCCCTTTTGGGAAGTTGTTGTGAGGCCGGTTTGGTGCTCCATCAACTGCAGCTCATGGCAGGTGACTGGATGCGTGTGTGAAAATGGACCTTGTGCATCCAGAAGCTGCCCACGCCTGTGTGAGGTGCTGTGGGGACCAGGCCAGGCATCAGTGCAGCAAGAGGCCCCTGGATGCCAGGGGTGGATCCCAAGCCAGCCAGGGCCCATCTAGTCCAGCATCATGCTTAAAACAGTGGTCAGCCACATGCCACCAGAGATATAAAGTAGGATATAATGGTAACATCCAGTCCAGGCCTTCTCCAGTTGAAGAAAGAGGAGTACATATGTCACAAGGTGCGTGAAAGCTGCACAGGGAGGAGATTAGGAAAATGGTCAAAAGAGACAGGAAGAACCCTCTTCAGACTATAGCCTTTGTGACACAAACCTGTTAGGGCTTGCAGGCCGCTGTTCAGGATGTTGCTTGTTCTGGCTTGACGATGCTTCTGATAAGCCCCTGCGAATCGCACAGGATCTTGACACCCCTTATTGGTATAGGGAGAAAAGTGGAGAGAAAATGCACTAAAGAATTATCTACTGTAAAGCTCCAGAACTTCTTTCAGCCCAAAGCTGGATTCCATTTCAGATGAGTTCTTGGGGACTGTATGCCAGTGGTCCATGTGGCCAAAATTGAAAGGGTTGAAGCCAGTGTTCCCCAAATGCTAATATATTTCAGCTTCAAGCTCATCCTGCCAGTAACACAGCCCAAAGAGAGGCATTTCAACTTCATAGACTGGGATAAAAACTGCACAAAAGCCAGGAAATCACCAAATAGTTTCTGGTTGGAAGAAGAGGGTGGTTTGGTGGATCCAGAGGGCCAGATTGGACCCCAAACATGGCCAGGATGGGGATGTTTGCCACCAGTCTAAAAAGGTTGAATTCTTTTGGGTCCAGGGAGGGTTTCCTAAGGGGTGGTCTCACCACTGCTTGTATCAGGTGGTGGGGGATGACTCCTTTGGAAAAGTAGGTGATGTGGACAGGGAGTGATGCACTTTGGAATTGACTTCCTGGTGCAGTGGGTGATGGGATACATACAAAGCAAGAGGATTAAGTGAGGTGGAAGAAATCATGATAAAGTAGAAACTGCTTGATTGTCTTGTCATGTTGACCATGGTAAAAATGGTGCCATGGCACAACTGGGCAGCATACAAATGTTTTAAATAAAAAAATAAACTGCAAACCATGGTAACTATGCAGGGTTGCTTGCTGTGTTGTGTGAGTGCAGCCAGTACCAAGCTAGATGGACCAATCTGGGTTCAGATAACATGATAACCTATACTCAAAAGCTGAGTGTAGATTGTTGTTGAACCATGTGTTGTTGAAATGTAGGGTACTGTATAATCCGAACCTAGCCAGGATAACAATCCACAATTCACAACCAGCAACAAACCAGGTTCTTTTCATGGGTTCTCCAGAACCAGACAACACATTAACCCATGTTTCAGCAGCTCGATTCAGAGTGGGGTTTTTGTTGTCTGCATCCAGCCATCATCTACTTCGGTGCAAGGACACTTCCAGTGTTTCCCCATGCTTCAGCTGGGCCTTCCCAACATGAGCTCTGTGCGCCTTAGAATGCACTCAGCTATTCAGCATGTCTGTACATTATACCAGGAAGATCAGCATGGCAGACAAGCTGTTTCTCAAGAACACTTGTTCATCCTTGGCCAAGTTTAAAGTTGAAGATCTGTGTCTGAAAACCATTGGCCTTCTGTACATGAATGTCCTCAGAGGAAAAGAGCAAGCACATTGTATCCACCAGATGGCAGTCAACCTTTGCAAGTCACCAGCCAGACTTTACTTAGCCGCACATTGTACACATTGGTTATTCAGTCGTGATCAGCAGTGCCGATAGACAGATAAATAGATTATTTCATGGGGCTGACAAAAAGCCCAACCTTACCTTTGCTCCAGGAAAATCAAGGAAGTGGCAGCCCACAGCAGGAAACAGGTCTGGGGAGTGTGATTTGTGATTCAGTGTATTAGCCACAACCCTTTATCAAAACCCACAACCCTTTATCAAAACTCATGTTGATTATGTGGTCAAGGCACAGCTGCCTCTATAAAATGTGTTGGGCTCACCACTCCTTTATTGCTATCGTGTGTGAACGGGTTGCAGGCCATCAAATCCAAGTTTATGCATTAGACCAGTTTTTTAAGGCTACTGCAGTTTCTGAGTATTGAACAGGTGGAATGTAGAACTGAGGCCCCAATCTTATATTCCCCTTGGTGGTTAAGCCCTCACTGTGCAGATGCGTACAGGATGGCACTGTTAAATTGCTGAGAAATGGCAGATTGAAAGGGGTAAAATAAAGTGCAAGGCATATTGTTGAGTTTGAAAAAGACAGCAGAAGAAACGGACTCAGCCTTCCATGTTTAGTTTTTAAATATGCCCATCACTCTCACCACAAATGATCCACAAATCATTCTGCAGCAGCACGACCAGTTTCGCAAGCAACTCTAAGAGCCTGCTGCCATGCTTTTGCTCAGCATTTTTCCACCTCCTTCTAATCCTGTAGGTTAGGATGTATTGTCAGCTTAGGGCAGTAATGCAGCAAAATCCACAGACCCATTCAGCTCGAGATACATTCAACTGGTAGAGTCCTTCAGTGCAGACGTGCATCTACAAGCGTGTCAAGAAGCACACCTAGCAAAATATGGAGGCCAAAGAAGTGCTTGCATGCACATCTGGCAGCATATATTCAAGCTTTCTTTTGTGTGCAGCTCAGGCAATGAAGTTAAGCCTATATGCCCCTTAAATATGTGAAATGGGTATCATCAGCCACATACTGTCATTTTATATAGCATTTTCAATGTGACACCCTTATCTGTTAAGCAAGATCTCCAGGAAGCGGCTCTCTTTGGGGGTCTTCCATTGGGGAAAGAAAAAAGATCAGGAAATATAGCAGAACTTACTCTGCTTGGTTCCTGATCATGTGGAAGTCAAGTTACCTGCAGGCTTATATGGAAGCATCACTGTATTTCAGAAACATGCTAAGATCATTTAAAAGGTAAGGTACTTTGGGCATTCTACTGGAAATTACTTTTAAGGTGTAATATTAGGTGCCGCTTAGCTGGCTGGGGCATCCTGGGCATTGTTGAACTCACTTTTCTCTTAAACGCACGAGATGTGCACTTAATCCATGGTAAGACTGGAATAATTCCTGTGTTACAGCTGAGATTTAAGTAGAGGGCTGTTCATGGGAATATGTAACAATGCAAGAATTGCCAGCTGACGATTTCAGGATCTGGCCACAATACAATTTTATATGGATGTTGGTGGTCATATCTTCTTTTAAAGCAAGATGTGGTTAAAAGGTTACCTCGGATTCATTTAGAATGGAAAGAAATGTATTTCCCCAAAATCACAAATATTCAACTTTTAACATCATATCTCTTCTTCATTTGTATATAAAGCCCCAGATATGTAAAAAAAAAATCTTTATAATGCTCTTATTTTGCACTAGAGTTATTAGAGTTTGACTACTTCTGAGAGGGTCAATTTCTATTCTGTTGCTGCCTCTGAATCTTCAGAAATTAGAGCAATCCCAAATAATATAGAAATTAATTATCCCTGAACTGAACAAATCTTATCTGTCACAACAAAAAGGCAATTCAGAGGAACTTAAACACACCTAAGTACCACTAAAATCATCAGACCATACCCAACACAAAAAAGTGCTTAATTCATTTACAATCAGTGGGTTTAAGGATGTTTAACTTTCACTGGTTTGCAGAGAAACAGAGATAACAGACTAATTATGAGCCTCTTATTTAAGATTACACATATTTAACAAAGCACATCTATACAGGTTAATCATCAATTGCTCCTACTATACTTAATGAAGCATGTTCCTAAGAAAGTGTATTTAGAACTGTATCCTTAAAATCTGTATGTTATGTTTCCTATTACACAATAGACTCCCCCAACCCCACTATTTTATCCAGAATATGTACAAACTGATACCTGGATTGAGACAGTGGGTGCGTTCACATGACATGCAGGAATAGGGAAAAGCAGACACACTGCTGCAGTGCATCCACCTTTATTTAGCAATCCACAAGCAGCTCCTTCATAGATAGCTTAGTGTGTCATCTGAATCCAGAATGCTGGGTTGTTTAGGGGCTGAACAACCCAGTGATTACTGTAACCACCACTGCTGGATTGTTATCCCTTAAAGAACCCAGGCTCATTCAACATGCTAAATAATCTACAAAGGAGCCTCTTGTGGGTTGTTGATTAAAGCTGAAAGTGAAAGCACACCTACTTTCCCACTTGTGTAGGCAGCCTGGGAGTTGTTGAACCAATCAGCTGTTGTGTCACGTGAAGCAGGTCAGTAAGACAAAGCCCAGGGGAAGTTACATCAGTTCCAGCTGGGTTACTTAAGATACTCATTCTTGCATAAGCTTTGTCCATCCTTAGCACACACAAGGTACAATCTAGCAGGTAAGCATTTAAAAAGTTTTGATTATTTCAATGAAGCCATTATGCACACATTTAAGTACCTTCGCTGAAATTTACAAGACTTTAAAAAGTGCTTAATTTTGCCTGAACTGTACTTATGGCATTCAGTGTGCCTCAATACACTCAAAGTGCTTCCACGCTTGTGTAATCCTTAACTAATACCTTCATCAACATACATGATTTTCTCAACTAGAAAAAATGAACAACAAAGGAAAACAAGTCCACTGAAAGGAATACAAGCCCCTGAAAAGGAATCTTTCAAAGATAACTTTTATCTTTCATAATTTTAATAAATAAAATAAGTTGCATAAAGGAATGAGTGAGTTAGCTAAACAATAAACATTGGTTCTTGCAAACAGGCTGTTCTGAAAGCAGGAGAGAAACATCCGCCCTGACATTTGGGCAGTCACACAGGAAGGCCTTCAGCTTTTCACAGGAGTTGAAGTTGCTTTCATGGCCTTCTTCAGGTGGTGATAGTTTGGCAGAATCTTCATGAGGAAGTCTAGTTGCAACGTTTGTGGCTAAAAGGAACAGCAGCCCGATGTTAGATAAGGCACAAGAGAGGCCGTAATACTGGCAGCCTGAACGCTGAGGCTGGGGCTGTGCTGCATCGTGCTGCTCTGGTAACTACTGAAGACAGAGGCTAGGGGGAAACCCATGGCCTGGCTCTGCTTTCCCAAGTCTACTGCCCTCCAGATGTGCTGCACTACAATTCCCATAGTTCCTAGCCAGCATGGCCAGTGGTTTGGGTAGTGCAACTTAGTTTCCAGAAGCTTTCTTATCCATGGTCCTCCAAACTCTCCTCCTCACCGCCAGATGATGCTTCCTGGTTTTCCCTACAAGCCTCTCCTCCGTGTGACTTGCAATGGAGACTGTGGCCAAACTCTCGTCACACATCAAGTGTTCATATCCATGCAGAAGCCAAGAGAAGGCCAAAGCACCAGTGTTCAAACACCGCTTGTCCAGTCCTTGACAAACCAGAATCAGAAACTATGGTTTGCAGTTGGTTTATGTTGCACTCACTATGGATTTGCATGACATCCCAACTGACAAGCCATTGCTATGGGGGGCTGCTCTGCCTCTGGATGCCCCTGTAGCACCAAAATGGGAAAGCTGAGCTGATGGAAAACGAAAGCTATCAAGTCTAAACCGTTGGATTTGGGAGCACAAAACACAGCTTGGTGTGATAGCTGGTTGTGCAAGTTCAAGTTACTACTTCTTTGAAGGAATAAAAGTGGATTAGTATTCCACCAAAAATATGCTGAGCTGAAGAGGCAAAATGAGAAAACAGGAGACTCCCAGGATGGCTTTTCTCCTAATCCTGCTGGATCATCAGGCCAGAAGCCTTAGATTACAGCCACCTATTGCTTATGCCTCTGAGCCCTAGATCCTCTTTCTCTTTCCATTGCACTAATTCTTTTATTTGAATTTTTACACCTCAGTTCAAGCAAGCAGCCAGCCAGGACCCGTCAGGGGGATGCAGCTGTTACACAAACCTGGCACCTGAGGGATCAGCTGAAGCAAGCTGGTTCCCCCAGTCAGATTAGGTCAACAAAGCCGCATTTTGCAAAAGCAGGACAGGCCTGGGACAGGTCAGCCGGGCCGGACCTCTCGGTGTGCACCCACCTGCGGCCGCTCGGTCTGCACTCGACGAAGACAGTCGGCTCCATAGATCACCGTGTTCTCAGGGATGACTTCGTAGGTATTGACATTGCAACAGGCACCGATGATGCACCCACTCGTCAAGATCACATTCCTACCCACAAATGCTACGGAGGCAAGATAGTTGAGACTCATATTATAAAATAACCCCAGCTGAAAGAGGCAGCCTACCCCTAACTTCGGAGACCGCCAAAATACTCCACTCCAGTCTGATGGAGGCAGGGAAGAAACGGGACGAATGCAAGGAAACGCAGGTATGTAGCCTTCAAACTCTGCATCTTTCTGAAGGCACCGAAGTACCTACAGAAGTCACTCGCTGGCCTGAATCTGCCTCATGGCAGAGGTTTTGCCAGAGAATCTGCTGTAACACCCCAGCATACAGCAGAATAGTCAAGGCATGTTCAAGGAACCAGCTCTGTTCCATTCATGCTCTTGCCCAGCCTGCTGGGCCTCAGTGTTCTCTGCTCTCCTCTGGAAGTGACAACAGCCCGGCTCTTTTCTGTGCCTGTGCATTTCAGGCGGAGACTGGCAGGGTGCTGAGGAAAAGCCAGGCAAGCTGTTTCTTCATGGAACAGGGGCATCCATTTCAGGTTTCAATGTGGAAATCACTTTCTCAATGGAACATCTGAAAACACTCACTGCTAGGGTACAGTCCTAAGGATGCTACAACCTAGAGACTCACTTCCAAGGTTATATGTTTAGGATCACACTGAAAGTGAAATGATCTGGGCAGAGTCTCACTTTCAGCCTCCCAACATGGGAGCAGTCCCAAAAAGCACACAGGGGGCATGCAGCATGATGCAAGAGTGGGGAACACAGATAGCAACTCAGTATTAGATTTCCTACAGAATCTGCACACTTACATTTGGACTCGATGACATTGTTGTCGCCTATTTTCATAGCCTGAGAATCTAAAGTTCATGGTTAAGAAGTAAACTTAGCAATTTGAGTCTGGGGGGCTCCCTTGCCTTAGATTCCTCCCAATGAAAGCCCTTTGCAGGTCCCGCTTTCAGAGATGCACCCCAGGCAAACATGCTGCTGGCACCGGAGACAAGAGTTTCACCGAGCCCTCGTGACAAATCACCTCCCTCAGCCATGACTGAAGACCTCACGACACTGGCATCCTATGACATAATATACACAGACATAGAATCATACAGTTCAAGGGGTCTAGAAGGCCACTGGGTTCAACACCCTGCTCAGTGCAGGACTCAAGTCTCCCATCCAGATTCTCACGAGGCCTGACCATGCTTTGCGTCCAAGATTGTGTGGATTGTTTTGTTGCTGTTTTGTGTTTTTCTTTTGTTTTGTTAAAAAAAAAAAAACCCCTAACATACAGGTCTTGTCTTAAGACTCAAATGAACAACCAAGCAAACACACATCAGCTAATCTGTTCTATATTCAGGGCTTTCATTTGCAAAGTCCTGAATTTCTGAAATATTCCTAATGGCCTTTATTTGAGCCAAAAGCTGCCTATGAATCTCCAGATTGGTTCTTTGTAAATAACCAAATTGGCTGCTATTCTGGATGAGTCTGTTAAGGTAATCTTAATCTGAGACTCTGTTAAGACAAAGATTCATTTACTTCAGCCCTTTGGCTTCCAGTTCTCAGATACATTAACAATAGGCAGACAAAGGGTGTGTTTGCACATCACAACAGCCTATCGTGGCTTAATTAACCCACATGGTCTGTCATGTTGTGCCAGGTACTAACAGTGCCATGGCTGCATGGTGCTTGACTTGCCATGGCTTGTGGTGTCAGTGCAGGTCATTTGGGGGTTGCTGGTACCCTAGTGCTACTGCCTCCTAAGACTAGTTGAAGGTCTTCTAGTACAACATGCTGTGAGTTTATCAAACATCATACTAACTTGTCTTTCTTTTTTGCCTCCCAAAAACCTGGTTTGTATGATTTGGCAGCCCATCATGGCAGGATTGACCTGCAGGGATTGTCACATTATGATAGACACAATTTTTGCATGAGGCCCACATTGGCCCAGCTTGCCATGGCTTGTCATGTCATGCAAACCAGGCAGCTGGCCTTGATAGGCAGCTCTCAAATAACCCACGGTTTGTTTAAGGGTATCCGAGGGTCATCTAAGTTATGCATAAAAGGTCCATAATTTTGACCGTGAAGTTTTAGTCAGCTTTGCAGGTGGCGGTATTGTTACCTGGCCTTTGGATTCTAATGACTGATTTAATAAATGCAGTTAGAACTGCTCATTTGAGATGGAAACCCAAATCCTGCAGCTTTTTAACATAAAAAGCTAAACAAGAGAGAAGCTGCTACTCACAATTCAGGCTTATTTTCACATTACAAAATCCACCCTAAATTTGCTGCGTGTTTCTGCTGTGGACTTTGCAAGATGTCAAACTGTATGTTAGTGGAAACCTTTGGATACAAAAGCCCATTAAGGGATGTAGAAGGATGAATGACTAATGACATCTGTGTTATTATGGATGGGTAAGAAACACATTCCTGACCATTCCCCCTTGTGCAAAGTGGGGATCTTTTCCTCACTTAAGCTTGCTGTAACCTGCACTATCCTATATGAACATAAACCTTTCCCAACTTTTAGTACTGCCTCTCAGAAGGATACAACAGCCAACTTCAAACACGTTATTGGTTCCGATGATCATGGGTTTGGCTCCCACGTCCTCTGTATCAGGGGTAATATTTTCAGGATAGCTGTAAGGGGATTGAAAATCTGCATTAACATTTGCAAATTTTAAAGTCATGCCATGCTCTTGTGAAAAGATGCAAATCTTTGGCAGCTAAGAGGTTTGGATAGTTACATTTTGGGGCTAAGTAGAGTCTTTGCTTTAGATTCCCAGGTCTTTCCTACATCAAGAAGTCAATGTTGCCTTTTTAAGAATATTGGAACAGATATAAACTACTACGGGGAATATAAGAGGAATGTTTTGGCCAAAATATCATTAACAATACATACAAAGCAATTCTAATATATGTCATGTATAACTGAAGAGAAGGTTTGCAGAACAACTTTCCAAAACATCAGTTTCTGTTAGAAGCATGGGAGCCGACGAGGGAAGTCATTCAATATGAGAAGCTCACTGCTTCAAGAGTCAGAAAGTTCAGTAGACTGAGGGCTGGTGAGTCTGCCAGTAAGCAATAAAGAGGCCAGCAGAGTACTAGCAGCCCTGTGCAAGTGTGTTTGCTACAGGAATCAGAAGAACTTCACATGATTTTCTGTAGTTGTAATCCTATACACACTATTTATTAGATTTACATCCCGCTTTTTCCTTGTAACAAACTCAAAGCCGCTTATATCATTCTCCTCCTCCTGCTCTCAGTCTTGTTCCCAGAACAACAACCTTGTGAGGTTGGTTTGGCTGAGAGTGTCCCTGGCCCAAAATCACCCAGCTGGCTCCAAGGCCAAGCAGGGACTAGAACCCAGTCCTGTGCTCTTAACCACTACACCACACTGGCTCTAACCAACCTGGGAGTGACTCCCATGGAACACAGTGGTGCTTATTTCTGAGCAGATATGCACAGGATTACATCAGAAATGTTTCCCAGATCTCTCTGTACTTATGCTCAAAAAGTCGTGAATGCACTAGACAACTACTGGTCGGCAAGTTAGAGATACGAGACTTGGTTTTTAACAGCTCACGTTAAACATTGTGATCAAACTAAATTTTTATAGCAGCGCACGTAAGGGTTGCAGGAGGCTATGCTCTCTCCCAAGCTTCTTATGCAAGCTTTCTTTAACAGTATAGATCCTCTACAACCGGTACTGGTCCGTGGTCTGTTAGGAACCAGGCCACACAGCAGAAGGTGAGTGGCAGGCTAGTAAGCAAAGCTTCAGATGTTTGCAGCCGCTCCCCAGCACTAGCATCACCACTAGGAAGTGGCTGCAAATACAGATTATCACTTAGGGCCCTTTTGGGTCTTGGGCCTTGAGAGGAAAGAGCGAGAGCTGGGCAGCAAGTAATATAGATAAGCCAGGGAGGGCGCATGTGAGCAACGAGGGAACTGGGAAGCAGATAAGAGCTGGGCTGCAGGATGGGGGAGGCTCCCACTGATTCTGCATTATGGGGAGTGGTATCATTATTTCAGTATGTATTACAATGTAATAATAATAGAAACAAAGTGCATAATAAATATAATGCAGTTGAATTGTCCCGAAATCAGCCCTGCCCGCAGTCTGTGGAAAAATTATCTTCCATGAAACTGGTCCCTGGTGTCCAAAAGGTTGGAAACCGCTGTTCTGCAATGGAACATGTGTGGTCTAGCCATGGAGAGTCACTAGCAATCTGCTGTGGGGTTCACCAAGTGACCTTTCCCTTCCTCTGACCCACGTACTCCTCTAAGTTTAAATCATCCCTGAAACACTGAACTGCTCTCAGCCAATGAGAGGCGGCCACTTACTAAGAGGATGCATGTATGAGAGAGGGGGTAACAGAGGGGGCGTAGAAGGAAGGCAGCTCCCTACGCTGGAGACTATGTACTCCGAGGGACAGTGGTACCCAAGGTCTCAAAAGGGGTATTCCAGGTCCTGCTTTAAGAACGCTTTCACTACAGACGCTGCGAACTGAGGCTTGGACCCTTCGCATCATGTACAGTGATTGCCGTACCACTGTGTGAACATTGTTAAGTTATGCTACATAAAGGTGTGTGTGAGAGAGATTACATAATGCTTTCTTTTCATGTTAAGAATTAGGCTTATTTTAATCTGCAGATGAGCTGCACTGAATACAGTGTATTATTGTAATAAACGAGGAACTGGAAGTGATAGCTTTTGTTTGGCTGAATTGTAACTTAGTTTACATTTCTGCAGCATTTCAAAAAGACCCCTGTGGCCACTGATAGCAAGGTTTTAGAAACCGGTTTTAGAAACTTTTGAATACGTTAAAATGCTTATGATTAATCAGATAAAAAGAAATCCAGCAAAGTCTGGGGGCCACACAATTATCTGGTGCTTTAGCTGTGACGTCCTGTGTGTGTAGCATCAGGTCTGCAAAGGACGAGGCCCTGGCCCATCATCCTCTTCACAGCCTGTACAAAAATACCTGCTTCTCCAGAACCAGAAACGGGCCTCAGGGAGGGGCAAAAAGAGGTGTGCCAGGGATGGCGGCAGTACAGCACTGATGTCTTTCCCCATACCCAAACAGCCCCCAGCCCCCTTTCCTCCCCCTCCATGGCGCTTCACGTAGATGGCTGGCTCAGGGTGGTGAAGAGCTACACTGCACCATACACCACGCACTGAATGCATGCAAGTTCAGGGGCTTGTGTGCATCAAGGGTGGAAGGGATAGGGTCGTGCTCCACATCTCTTAAACTTACAGTTATGCAGTTTACTGCACCACAGGGGGCAAGTCCTGCATAAAAGCTGCCCCTTTTGTTGCACCCACTAATGTATGGCATTAACTTAAGAAAGACAACAGCATTAACTTAAGAAAGCTCAACATATTGAATCATACTAACCCATTGATGATAACTGCCTGTTCTTCTATGAGGTTACCTTCTCCAATCACTATTGGTCCAGCTTCTGCAATTATCCGTGCTTTGGGGTGAATCACTGTCCGAGGTCCTGTGGAAAACACCCAGGGTTCAATACTAGGGCGTCACTCAGATTACTTTGAGGAAAGGAATGATTCTCAGCAGGAGCATTATCTGAAGACCAGTTTGTCTCATGGTTGTAACAGGCAAGCAAAAGGCAATCTGCAGATGTGAGCCAAGCTCATTTTTCACTGCAGTATCTAAGAGACATCAGCTACTTTGGCTGGCAGACAGCATGATGCCAGCGGGTAGCTTTTATACAAATCAAACCAATCAACCAAAACAATCTAATAAATCAATAAAGCTCTTTCAAGCATTTCTTTACCTTCCCAGTGGGTGCACCATAGATGAAGGGGAGGAGAGGGCATTATACACAGCATGTGATATTTTCCTATCACTTATACTTCTGGTCATCTCAAGAGCTTTAGCCCTTAACAATTGGTATGAACAACCTGCTAAAATGATCTTATCTTCCTTCCCCCTATATGCAGTGGGGCACTGTATTTCCTCACTCTGAACATTTGGCATGCCTGTTCCCTTGGTCATCCACACAGGAGAGCAATGCTTGAATACAGACAGTCCCCAGGTTATGAACGTCCAAGTTACAAACAACCTGTACCTATGAACGAACCACCATAAAGCCATTAAGTGTTTAAGATTACTGTGGAAAATTGCCATTGCCATAGAGAGAGAGGAAGCGAAAGGGGAGAGAGGGAGGGTTTCTACAAAATTGCCACAGAGAAAGAGGATGCAAAAGTGGAGGGAGGCCTCCAACGCATGCCTTCCTGCCACGCCCATCCAGAAAGGGAAATCTATCTGGAATTTCCTTGCTGCAAAGAGGAGGCACTGGTGAGTGTGGGTGCAGAGGGTAGAAATATTTATGGGTTTTCTGTTTTGACAGGGGTCCTACACCCCTAACCTCCGCAAATGTGGAGGGCCAGCTATACATGATCGGACTTACATACAAATTCGACTTAAAGACAAATTTCTATTTTCTCAGGAACGGAACTCATTCGTGGCCCAGGGACTGTCTGTACATATGTAGACACCAAGTGCAATTAGATCTGAACAGCATGAGTCATATTGTAGAGGAATTTGGCACCTTTACACACAGAACTTTTGGCACCTTTACACACAGAACACGTGGCTTATTTAAACATTGTGCAAATGTGACACCCCAGTGGGACCAGAGCAGGCAGGACAGGAAAACAGTCTCATTCATCCATTGCACACCATGAAAAGGGAGGGCCATTTATTTGGCAGAATGAGACTATCTACTAAGTATGGATGCCAAAAGGTACTTTTAATAAAGTGACTATGCAAATGCATTGCTAGAGTTCATATGAGTTATTTTTAAAGTCAGTATAACCAAGGTTCATGAAAAAGGGTTCTTTTTGTTTTTTTGCAATTTCACCTGGTGTACACCCAAGATGATATTAAACCTTCCTGCGAATCTTGTCACTTCCTCCCACCACTGAAATTTGAAATGCTGCTCTGGGTTCCTACTCGTACTTCAGTTCCCTCCTGCATTCAGTGAGAGAGGATGCCACCAATGCCCACAAGTGCCCCAAATCAGCGGATTGCAGGTATTTTTGAAGCAATTTCCTCTTCCTTGCTCCTTCACTCCGCAAATCAGCCAGATTTCAGCTGTCCAGCAGTGATGCTTTGGATGGGAATGCAAAGTGGCCAGAGCTTGCTAGAGTCAGCAATATGTGGGAATTAAGATGGTTTAAGACAAAGAGAGCTGGTATCATGGCTAAGAGTGCAGGTGACCTGGATTCTAGTCCCCACTCAACTATGAAGCTCAACGGGTGGCTCTGGGCCAGTCAGACTCTCAGCCTAAGCCACCTCATAGGGTTGCTGCTTTGAAAAATGGAGAGCAAGAGAACTTTGTAAGCCTGCCTGGGTTCCTTACAAGAGGAAGAAAGGTGGGGTATAAAAGTCATGTAATAATACTGTAACAATTTCTGATGATTAGCTTCCAGATTCCATGATTATTCAAATTCACATTGAAAATGCTAATGGTAACAATACCACCCAAATTACAGTTTCTTACCAATTGTCACGTCTCCTTTGATTTCACTCTCCACACAGACAACAGCTCCAGGAGCAATTTTGACACTGGAAAAGAGATCAAGAGAAATAGCACCACTGCCTTGCCTCTACCTCCAAAGCAAATGTGTGTGGAAGAAACCCAGCTGATGGCCAGCAAGCTGAGCACCACTCAGAATCTTTTAATACCAGACTATGGTATTCTTCTGGACCACCTTGCTGGAATGGGGCCTGAGGGGCAGAGTATTGCCATGGTCTTGCCCTTACAATCTTGTCTCTCCTTCTGTTTGTTTATGTGAAACCACTGGAAGGGGTCACCTGGGGATTTGGGGTTTCATGTCATCAAATGACATTAATCCCTCTCTCCCTTTCCATTCCATCTCACTCCAGGGTGGCTGTTGAGAGCATGACCAGGTGCTTAAGGCTGGCAACAGATCTAACTGGGATCAGGAAAAAGGTCTGGATCTCCAGCTCCTGCATCAAAGTGATTTTTCTGACCATGGAGCTGGGAATCCATACACTTCTATGGCTGTCTAGATGCTGCCTAGAAGACACAGGATTGCTCTGTGAATGTTTACCTTGTAAGCCTTAAAGCAGGGCCTCTTCGTTTTCTTTCAACTAATTCTGTACTACGAATACGTTTCAGACGCTTAATAATAATGCATTACGTTAAATGTTGCAATGTGAAATTCTTGCACATTTACAAAACCCGGGGGGGGGGCTCTAAATACATAAAATTTAATGAGGAACTAAGCGAAGTGGGAGAATAATGAAAAGATTCATCATAGCATAAACTTTTGCGGGCCCACAATCATTAGACGTGCAAAGCGTCATCCCAAACTGGCAGATCCCCGAGTCCAATATCCCAAACACTGGAAAGGCCAAGAAAACTCGAAGGCCACAACGGATATGTGATATTTCTATGCAGAGCTGACACGTTCAGGAGGTAAGAACACGGCGCTCCACACCCTCAATACCTGCAAGTTGCCTGATCCAGCCTCTGCAATGAGCAGGGAAGACGGTACGCGGGTGATCAGAAGGCAACTGGGGCCTCTGGGCCCCAAACCTCCCGCCTCCCGCCCAGCTAACGGCAGAGGGACCCCTGACAGACACCCTCCCAGGTTGAGCCCACCACCCCCTTGCCGTGCCGGCTCAGCTCTGCTCACCTCTTCGGCACCTTCTCCGCCATCTTTGCTGCTCACGCATCCATTGCTCGGCCGGCGCCGAGGCAGCCTGCTGCTTCGGTGGGAAGATCGGAAAGGGAGCGGGGCGCTCGGAAGCGACTCATCAGCCTGGAGCGCGATCGGGCTGCGTCGAGATCCCCTCCCACCACTGTAGGCGGGCATTTTCGCCGCCCACGGGACGCTCCCGCGGGCTGCAGGGAGACCCCGCCCATCTCCCGCCCCCTCCAGAAAGCCAGCGAATGGCAGCGCCCTTGCGCTTACGTCGGCTTGCGTCAGTCCGCTAATACAGAACCTTCTCTTTTGGCAAGGTTGCGAATCGTTCAATAGCCAGGCTGGAATTCGTCAGGTGCGGATTCCGTCGTCCTGATGGGCATGGAAAGGCAACGCGAAGAAAAGGGACAACTGCCGAATTGTGGCCGGTCCTGTAAGACCGGCAGGAAAAAGGGTGCCCACTTTAGTTACTTTCACATCTTAATTCAGCCTCTGCGAACCCGGTACTTTCCAGATTCGTTGGACTACAATTCCCAGCAGTCAGCGGATCTAGAGGGCACCAGTTAGGCATGTTTCCCCAGAATGACTGTGGAACTGGCCTGTGGCTCCCATTAACCATCTGGCTTATATCCAGTGTTGGTCTAATTTAAGTCTTATCTCAACTGGTTGAGGAGGGACATGGATGCAGCTAGGTCATTTTAGACCAGGGGTCTCAAACTCAGCTTACCTGGGGGCCGCTGGAAGTAGAGTCTGGGCGAGGCTGGGCCGCATCTAGTATTCCACCCCCGCGGTGGGGGTGGGCTGCTCATCCCTTGGCCGGCCCGGGTGCCCCCGGCGCTTTGAAGGCCGCAGGGCCCCTCCCCTGTGCCCTGCCCATCCCTGCAATTGGCCTGCGGGCCGTGAGTTTGAGACCCCTGGTCTAGACCCTGAATTTAATGACCTTATGAGACTCTCATTTATATGGTGCTGTGCATTACTTAAGCTTCAAGGCACGCAGCTAAGGCTTCTCTGCCCACACCCACCCTTGCTACTGTTGCCACATCCACTGCATGCTTTTAACATGTTTATACATGCCTCTGTGTTCGACCAACACAAAATGTTGATTAAATGAAAATAAATACATCTCTCTGAGCATGACATTTAAACTTATTTAAATCACAGCAACACAACTAGAGGAATAAATTGGGCTTTGCCTTTGCTGCACACATATACTTGGGAATAAGCACTATTGGTGTGCTTAAATATCGATATTTAACAGTGAATGGTATAATCTGCATGTGCTTGAGATGACTGTTTAAAAAAGATTTTTGCTTTAAGTGGAAGAAACTCTGCCTCAGGGACCAGCCTCAGTGCAGGTTCCCCGCAGTGCCTCTAGCAGCACAGCTGGCGCCACTGCTTTCATCACCTCTTGCTCTCTGGCTGGTCCTTGGGGCAGCGGGGCAAGACCACATGGCCCTGCAATCTGGCCCTTGGTCCAACTGTCATTGCACATGGCATATACTCCTGTGCCTGGATGCCCACGTCTTTGGGGAGGCGGCCTGCAGGGGGCAGCACACATGCAAGCATACATCTTCTCCCCCCCAGGCACCCTGCGGCTAGCCTAAGGCACAGCGATCAGGGTCAAGCCCACTCAGGCAGGCCTTTCTCAGAGCGTCACCCCTCTCCTCTGCGTGGGTTCTGAATTGCATGGCAGGATTCCCGGAGAGAGCTCTCACTGCAGAAGTGACTGCAACACATGAAGGGCAGCAAGGTTGGGATTGGGGTGCAAGCAATGGGTTTGCCCCCACACCTCTCTCTAGTGACCATGATCCTCTGGTGAATGAACTCCTGGGTAGGTCAACAATTGAAGCATGAAGGGGGCTCAAACATGCTGTGTGTTCCCACGTGACTTGGGCTTCTACTTCTCTGCAAACAAATGGTGTCACAAATCATTTGCCGTAGTACATTAAAGTCCACTCGTGAACTGCCCAGAGAGCTTTGGCTGTTGGGCAGTATAGAAAATATTTAATTAATTGGATGCTCAAGCTGGTATAAGTGGTTCTTGCCAAATTTTATGCACACAACAAGCTAAGTGATTGGCCTAAGATCACCCATTCAGTTTTATGCTAGAACCTCTATTCAGACCCTTGCCCCTATTTTGTCACTTGAATACGCACCACCCAGTAGCTGACTTGAAGGAGGGTTGACCTGAGTTCAGCCAGCTAAGGGCCAAGAGACACAGGACACACAAATGTGCCATCAGAAACTTTAATGTTGAAAAAAGCATTAGCGGCTGGAAAGCATGTGCTGGGGACTGCTGTGCAATGGGCAGTAATTGTATTCCTTCCCGCCTTTGCTGTAGTGCCCATGAAAATCTCTCTGCCCAACATCTGCTTCTCGCTCAGGACTGCACATGCTAAAGCAGGGTAGTTGGAGAGCTTGGAATCCAGTGAGGATCTTACCTGTATGGCCGCTGCCATCAGATATATTAAAATGTCTTTCCATCCCTGCAACAGTTGTGATTTTTGCAATGAAGGGATGTGTACTTACACAATCACCATGAATATGACAGCAACTGTGGAGGAAGGTTAAAGGTAAGTGTATGGTTCCCCCCCCCCCATTCTTAGGAAGAATGGCAATGTTCTTCATCAAAGAGTGACTAAAATTGTTTGGTATTTAGACTTTTATCTCTGCCCACCTGTTCTTGTAATCACTATTCAGAAGGAACCTGGCAGAACAAGTATGTAACATCTGTCAATCCAAGCCTCATGAGACAGATGCTCAGCAAAAGTGGCATTTAAGCAAACAAGAGTATATTTACTTGTTCAGGAAGTCCAGGTCTCCATAGTACATCGGTTTTAAATTCTGATAGATTGACCTTTGCAATCTAGGTCATCTCCATCCGCAGTTCTCCCCAATATAGGGGCAGGCAGCAAAACACATTGGAGATTTTTATTTTAGGGGAGGCAGGACTGGAAGATCCCCAGCAAAATAGCATTTTGTGAAGCAGGGTCTCCATGAATTGGGAAACCCCATTTTTATTTCAGGCTCCAGCCATATACCAGGTGGCTGCCTTTCCATTTGCTGCTTTGTTTCATTATCTGTGCACCTCCAGGAGTCTGTCTATAAATGCGAGGTATGTATGTTTATTTTGTGTATTCCTCGTAACCCATTACCCTTTTTCTTCACCAAGAAGGAATTCACAAAGCAGCATATAAATCTGGGCTTAAAATCCTACTAACACTCATCTTTTAAAAACATTTTTTTAAAAAAGAGATTGTTTTTCTTTCTCCTAGCCAGCAAAAATGCTTCTTCCATAAATGCTTTTCTTCTTCCTGATGTGCTACAATTATTATTTTCTGAATGCTGTTTGGGTCTATGTCTGATGGTAGGTGAACTGGCAAGCCCCCCTAGGAAGCATGATCCAAAAATAAATCGCCACTGTGGGCCAAGTCCTACTCCAGCAGAATCAGCTCGAAAGTCATTTCAAATTAATATGCTTGCAGCATTTTCTGCTTGGCAGAGACCATACGAAACAGTCTTCTTCACTTTATGTGAATGTAAAAAGGGGGGCATACAGGAATGTGCATTCCTTGAGAGATGCTGGGCCCGTGCAAGATTTTAAAGGCAAATACTTTGAACAAAACTAGGAAGCAAGCCTGGGCCGGGCCAGACGCCCCTGCCCTGCGCTCGGTGGCTCAGCTTTCCTCAAAGAATGAGCTGCAGAATTCTGCACCAGCGGAAGCATTTAGGCTGTCTTTGGTGGCAGGCCTAGGCAGAGCCCTTCATAACAATCCTTACACTTCCTTTTATTAATACTGAAGTGCTGGGAAAATTCAGATAAATCCTGGCGGAAAAGGGTTGCTTCAATGTGCCTTTGTTATAAAATCAAACCTTAGTCCCTTTCTCAGAAAGCAGCAGAATTCCAAGCCAGGTTACTGTTTAGTCTGCTGTTGCTTTAAGAAGACGAAATTCTACTTCTATCAAACTTGGGACTTTTTTTATTATTGGCTAGAGAAATGGGACTTCGCATAGATTTGAATATGCTTTTAAAGTTATTATAAATGGGAAAAGGGTGTGGAAGCTGACCCAGCGGGCTCCATGTTTTTGATGATGGATGTTGTTTGTAGTGGTTTTTTTGTTTTGTTTTTTTTTTAGGATTATAATTTCAAATAAAATTTATTTTAAAAAAAGAAGACGAAATTCTTAGCTGGACTGAGAAACTTCTGTAGGCTAACTCTGTCAGTGGGGAACTACCTGTGTTCTTATCAGCTGCAGAAAAGCTGAAACAATGGTATCCATTTGTTTCTGAATGGACCCACCTACGCATCTAGTCCCACAGAGACAAGTCCCTGGGCAGTGTAGTTGTCAAACCAGATTTCCTGAATGGTTCTTCAATCAGACACATTTGCATGTTTAAACAGGATCCAAACTGCAAAGAGGTCTACTCAATGGACAGGTCAATAAAGCAATCAGTAATGTCTTCCATACTCTTGCCACCAGTATTTCCGAGATGGTTTAGAACATCATGTCATGCCTAAAGACATCAGGATGCGATTGTACTAACATTATCTGGAAACCTAACACTGTCTTGGAGTAAGTGACTACAGGTTAGAAAAGTGTCTGCATGTGGGCTGTGATTTTGTAGTTGGTGGTGGGAACCACTATCCAGTAACATGCTGTTACAAGTAACTGCAGGGGTCCTGGGTGATCTTTCAATAAAACTGCTGAGGTTCAAGGGGAAAGGGGTCTTTCCTGACTGAACCTGGTTATTTTTGGTGCAGCAGCCATCCAGGCTTCCTGACAGAAGCAAGTGGGAAATTTGAGTACTGGTGTGAGTTTAACCAGTATAATCATGTGGCTGTTTCCTTTGAAGACTGGGTGGGACTTAGGGCAGAATGAGGCCTTTCCTTTTTTTTTTAAGGAAACCATGTAGCTTGTAATGGGCTGAGTTACTGAACTGGTTTTAACTGTCTTTGGTTGTTAGATAATTTCTCGGTTACTATTTCAAGGTTACTTTTTATAAATAATGTTTTAAATTTTTAATTTATAGTTTCACCTCAAGTATTAGCCAGCTTCAGCTCTTCTGAAGTAAGGTGGTATATAACAATTTAAAGCGTTTTAAATGAATGCTTCCACATTAAAGATGATCAACCAGAGAAAAACAGCCCGAAGAAGAAAGAGTTGTAGCATTGCGCTCCCCTACAAATCCCAGATTAGGTGGCATTGGCTGACAAGCAAAGAATCAGGACTCCTTTGTTTGCCATGTAACGTCTAATTGCATATTTTGGAAACAATTTTCCTTCGGGGGCACCCATAAAAGCAGGAAATGCTCATGCTAAAAATGCCTTACTGACTCTGGACACATTTCTGCTTGTTTTTAGATATATTTACCTCCTGGTTGGCGGTTTTCTCCTGGCTTTCGCAGCTATGGGGCGCTACGCCCTGCTGCTACTCTTATCTGCTTTCTGCTCCCTTGGAGTAATCCATTCTGCTGGCCCCCAAAAAGTCCACAAGAGGGCATTCTTCTTCCAGATGAGCTGGCAAACACTGTGTCATCTTTGGCTGCATTATAAAGAATATTACCTACAAGAAGCAGCAGGTATCAGGTAAAAATGTCCTTTCTCTTGTTTATTAACATGCAGCTCAGCTGGCTCCTACAACTGTAGGAGCAGTTTGCATTGGTCCTCTTTATTTTGTGTGGTTTTAGTACACAGGGGAACAAGAGATGGGACAGGAGGGCTGATCTTAGGTGTAAACCGATGTCCAGACATTCAAGGGCCCTTTTGTGGACCATATAAATGTTGTTGTTTTGGCTTGCTTTTGCTTTTTTCTCTTATTAACTTTATTTTTACTGAGTCCTATGGGCACAATATCCAATAAAAAGCGGAAAAGTAGCACAATTTATTTATTAGGCCCAAATTCAATATCAGGAAGCCAGGAGCTAGTTTTGAGTTTCACAGAAACTTCAGGTTCTTTATAAAGAGAAAGAGCAGGGAGTGCAGGAACAAAAATATTTTATTTATTTTATTTTACTTTTATGCTGCCCTGTAACCCAAGGGTTCGCTGAGCAACTTACAACTGTTGAACCAGCATATAAAATACAGTCAATAAAACAGATAAAGTGATAAAATTATAACATTAAAATAAATCCCACATGGTAAAAGATTTTGCACACCCATACACAAGACATAACCAAATACAACCAATGAATCAAAACAACCAGAAATTAAGTAAATAATCAGCAACAAAATGTAACATAAATTAATCAAATGCTTGTTGGAACAAAAATATTTTCACCGGGTGCCTAAAAGAAAACAAGGTTGGCACATTAAAATGTAATGCTGCTAAAAGACCTGCCTGCATTTTAGTTTATTTTGTGCCATCTCTGTATTATCTGCAGTGTACCGGATGCGTATCTCTGCATGGAGGGGTTGGCACTCTAGAATTGGATACAGCCGATGGAATGGGGGGAGCAAGTCCTTTGGGAAGGGGATGAGGGACAATCTGCTGTAGCTCAATCACGGGCACACACTCCTCCTTTCGGTAGAGCCTGAGAACTCCAGAGATTGCAGGCTCCGGAGGTTAGATCACGGCCAGGGCAAAATACTGCAAGCTGCACCAGGTCCACCGAGGCTGTCAGTCATGCAGCTGGTGTCCTCCTTCAGCTGAACCACACTTCTGCTCTCTTTCAGGTTGCCCGTCGCCCTCTCTGCCCTCATGCTGATGACGCAGAGGGTCACCTCACTGGCGCTGGATATCCATGAAAGGAAAATGAGCCCGGCGTGGCCCGGGGATGGTGAGAAGGAGGCCCCCAGGGGGGATGAGCTCCAGGCCTTGTCATTTTGTACTTATCTGCTCTCTTTCCCTACCCTGCTGGGAGGCCCCCTCTGTTCGTTCAACAGATTTCAGACATGGATAAGGTCTCGCAGGACTCCATGCTCGGCGCGCTCCCTCAGGGCTGCCGCTCAAAGAGGGCTGGGTGCTCTGCTGCTGAGTTTTTTGAGAGATATTCTGGGCAGGTATGTCTGCCCTCAGGACGATCTAGCAGAATGCACTCACTTCGGCTGCATCTATGCTATGTGGACCTCGGCCTTGTTCTTCAGGCTGACCTATTACTCGCACTGGATGCTTGACGAGTCTCTCTTCCTCGCAGCTGGGTTGGGGCAGAGACTTGCCCACGGCCCGCACGCAGAGACAGAGGACCAAGTCCTCTTGGACACACACATTTGGACCCTAGAAACCACCAACAGGATTGCTGCCTTCACCAGAACGTGGAACAAGAGTACAGCTCAGTGGCTGAGAAGGCTCATCTTCCAGCGAAGGAGATCATTTCCCCTGCTGGCCACCTTTGCCTTCTCTGCTTGGTGGCATGGCCTCCACCCTGGCCAGGTTTTCGGGTTTCTGTGCTGGGCTGTTATGGTGGAAGCGGATTACCGTTTTCATCACTTTTTTGGTTCCGTTGCGAAATCCCAGCCTCAGAGGTGGCTGTACCAGCTGCTGACCTGGTGCCACACGCAGCTCGTGATGGCGTATGTGATGATCGCCGTTGAAACGCGGAGCCTCTCCATGCTTTGGTGGCTCTGCTCTTCTTACAGTAGCTTCTTTCCACTGGTCTATGCTGTTTCACTCCTACTGCTAGCCAAGAGAAAAGTCAGCAGCCATGATGCCCATCATCCACACACTTCCCACCCTTAGGAACACAAAGCATTATTTAAAAATGAAGACGCAGATGGAGCCAGGAAGGGCACAGCTGGTTCTTCACCTCCTGCAAGGCCATTTTGAAACTTGCATTACACACAGAGAAACCCAGTCCTTGCCCCTCCTGTCATCCATCAAGCTGCTTTCTTTTCTTTCTTCTAATGAAAACCACACACTGTGCTTATTCACAAATGCAGACGTTCCATGCCTTTTTTTTTTTTTGACCTCAGGCAGGATAAATGGACTGGGAACAGTGGCCGTGAGTTGGTAGTGACATGACTACTAGCCTATAGGGACTTTCCATGACAGCTTCCCCCATTCAGGCTAAATCGTGCAGGAAACATGAAAATCCTGCTCTTTTGCAGAACTTGCCCCACTAATTTTAAGTTATCTTTACATCTGTCTTTCTCCGGAGCATAGCGACTAGGGTAACAAATTAAGTACCATGGTCTTTTTTGTATATAGTACAAGCCAGAAAACCTCCTCCTGCAAACACACCCATGGCCACAATGCTTAAAAGATTTTCAGAAGCCTGCAATTCTCATTCCAAGGTTCCAGGCTAAGCAATATTAGTCCTCTCACTTCTTAATAAGTTCTAGTTTCTCCCTTTTACAAACCCACATAACAGTGTAACCCTTTGCAGAATTGGGCCCGCCTCTGTCCACTGATTTAAATAGACATAGCTAATTCTGCATAGAACTAGGGTGATGTTTTAAAGGGCACTCGCAAGCAAATTTAAACCAGGAAAAAAACAAAAAGAATTTGTTTTCTTTTTGTTCATGGTTGACCTAGGGGGCTTTCTAACAACAGAGAGGTTTTGTGAGCAGGTCGGAGCAAGTTTTTGATGGTTAGCAAACTCTTTTGAAAGTGAGTCATGAATATGACACAAGGGATGTTTACTTTGCACAATGATTGCACATCCTTGTCATCGTACATGCATCTTTATAACTGAACACCTAAGAACCCAGATACCTGGGACCTTTAAATCCCCTAATACAGTGGGGGATGGAACAATGTTGCTTCCCCACCCGCCTGTCGCTGCAGAATAGGCCTTGTGTTTAATCCCACCAGTCGTACATCCCTCCAGTCTGAGGGAAACATTTTGATGCTCCTAAAAACAGATACCTGTCCAAACCCTTGTGCTTTAACTGCTTTAACTAAAGCTCAGAGATCCTATGTGGTGCGGTAGCTTGCTCGCCATGCAGTTGTAGTTGTTGTCTGTCTTGTATAAGGGAGCCATCGCACTGCAAAAGATACGGATGCCTTTAAGGCCTTGGGTCACTGTTGCCTCTAACTGGATTTTTTTGCTTCGGTAGACAGCAGCATTATACAGGAGAGGCAGGGTGGAAAACAGTTTCCTGTTAGCCCTGCTGCTCCTTGTAAACTTAATCCTCTAGCCCAGGGTGCCCCGTTTGTTGCCAACTTCAACCTGGGGCCCTAAAAATTAGCGGATCGGTATGCTAGTCTCAGTTTATAACAAAACTCCACCAGGTGGCAGCATAACCCAACTTTACCGGTCATTTTTGCATAGGTGAAGAATCCTCTGTTTCTGTACATGTAATCCAAGCATTCCGACCTGAGCATTTGGTGGTGACGGGCAAAGGATGGTGATGTATAGATCACAACGAGGTTCCTTCTGCTTCTTTATGGTTTATTCGTGCTAGAGCGTAGTTGGCGAAATGAGAACCCATTAACTCAATCTGTATCCGTCTAAATAGTTCTGCACCCATTCCCAGTTACGAAGGTGTATTACTCCATGCTGGAGGCTATTCTAATTAAAAATTACCACCAACAGTACAGCTTGCTTTTGAAAACTTATACAAAGCAGATTTGATTCAAACATCTATATTAGTGTAATAGTTTTGTTAGGCCAACTCCAAAGTTACCAAAATTGTGCAGACTTTTGAGATTTATGGGTAACTTCATTAGTCAAGACCAGGGGCCCTCAAACTTTATGAACAGGGGGCCAGTTGAAAGGTGCCAGGGATGCACATGGGCCGCCAAGGCGGTGTGGGCAGGGGGCGCAGGCCGGGGGGGGGGGGGACACATAAAGACAGGGGCATGCATGCGTCGAGATCATTTTCTCCCAACGAGTCCAAAACGATCTCCTTGAGAGCAAGCTGGCTTGCGAGCAAGGAGATCCTTTTCTCCAAGCGAGTCCAAAATGATCTCCTCCTCGCTTGGAGAAAAGGATCTCCCAGAAAGGTGCCGGCTTGCTCACAAGGAGGTCCTCTTCTCCGAGGGAGTCCAAAATGACCTCCTTGCAAGCGAGCCAGCACCTCGCCACGCGTGTGTGTGTGTGTGCGTGCGCACGCATGGCGAGCTACGGCGGGCCAGATCAATGGGCACGGTGGGCCGGATCCAGCCCGTGGGCCGTCATTTGAGGACCCATGGTCAAGGCATTCCAGAAAGCAGGGTACAGCAGTAGGCTGTGTGCATGAGAGAAATGCCAACAATACACAAATCAGTGGAAAAGCAGCCTCTTCTCACTCCCCTCTGCTTTTTGTAATGTTTTCACTGAAAGAGAGACCAGAGGAGCTCAAATATTTGCATAATTTTAATATCCTCTAAGAAGTCTAATAAAGCTATTGCCCTAATTCAGATTTGGGGGTTCATTTTATGGCCATTGTGGCTGCTTGGGCCTTTCGAGTATGTTTTAAGAGCTATGATGCACTAACCACACAAAGCACTCAGTCATGCAAATTATGTGTGATTTTTGAAGGGACTGGAGAAATTCTCAGCAGTTATTAGGATTAGCATCAAAATATACATGTTCAAAGGGATCATGGCCCTGCATAGCAGATACTGTGGACAAAAAACAAGAGCAGCTTGTTGCTATATTTGTCTAGCTGCAAGTATTCTTTCTATTTATTTATTTTATATTTATTATATTTATATCACACCTTTTTTCCTTCAAGTTGCTCAAGGCAGTTTTCATAATCCTCCTCCTCCTCTCAAGCTGATCCTCATGACAACCCTGTGAGGTAGGTTAGGCTGAGAGTCACCGACTGGCCCAAAACTGCCCAGTAAGCCTTGTGGCAGGACTGTGTGAATTGGACCCAGCCCTCCCAAGTGCTACCCTGAGACTCTAACCACTGCACCATATTGGTTCTCCATAGGGCAGGAAAAGATGCTGGGCCGGACTGGCCTCTGGACCAACAGGGCTCTTCTTTCTGTCCTCGGAGTCCTGCTAGCAAAGGCGAGTGTCCGATTCAGTAGCAGTCTAAACCTCTGAAGAGCACCTGCAGGGGGAAGCCATGTGAGGGGACCGTTCTCCTTCGTGCCTTGTTGGTTTGCTGCCAGAAGCATCTGCCTGTGAGCAGAAGGCCAAGCCCTTGATCAGCTGCAACCAACAACCAAACAACCTGTTGGAGCTTCGTCCCACGCATTTCATGTACTAAGTGTCCCGGGCCGTTGTCTAGGTTGGACCACGAGATCCGGATTTAGCAACTGGAGTCCTGAGGGCCAGATGGACTAGAAGTAGCTGGGGATGATGGGAATGGGCAGAGTGGAACAGGCTTTCCTGCCAGTCCATGGTGTTGGGTGAGGGGCCCATCAGATGACCTTCCTCCCCAGCTCGAAGGGTCTCTGTGCAGCCTGCTTGTTTTGGTGCATATCTAAACACGCAACACGTGTTTGTTGAGAACACAGAAATCATGCAGGGAATCCAGGGCTGGGATTGGCTCGGTGGCTCCAGGCAGTGCATGCTGGATGGCCACTCTGGATGTGTAGTTGCGTACTGTGTGAACAGGCCCTCATGGGCCTCTTGAAAACACTGTTGCTGATCAGAGATTCTGCCCGAGTAGGACTTGAACCTCCAGGGGTGGGGTGGGAAAGCAGCAATTTCCCTCCCACCTCCAGCCCACACAAAGTATAAACATAAACATGTGAGGCAAGAGGACCAGGTCTATGCGAAGAGGTACATTTTAGTTCTCATACGTGGCGTGTTTTTAACCAAGCAAGCCCCAGTAGCAGAGACAGCAAACTGTGCAATCCAGCAGTTCCATCGATCTCGCCCTCCATTTAGCCTTCAGGGCAAAGACCTCCACTGAGAATGTTGTGCTGCTTGAACTTTGCCCGGTGGGTCTAAACGAGTGCAATCGCTTTTTGTGTGTCATCCAAATATTTTCTTTTGAATCCTCTAGGTGCACCCATTGCTAATTCCCTCCTGTCCTTAGTTCTGAGAGGAAGCATCTGCCCCCACGGTCCCAGCCGTCACTGCACTCACTAGACTGGAACCATATCGATTTCCTAACAACACTCTCTAAAAAATGGATGCACACCCATTCCCACCACGCAGTGCCAAGATCCAAACAGGAAACCTTGCAAGGTGATCTCAGCTGGGGAGTTGTGGACTGGCCTGATCCCTCTGCAGAGCCTGTGCATACAGGAGCCAGACTGAGGAGGGCAAAGCGAAGGAGGGCAAAATGAGGTTCTCGTGTCCTTGCCAGCAAAAAACAATTGTTTTCCCTGTCAAGGGCTTCGTAGCCTGAGATCAAGGTGCATTAAGGGGAAAAGGAAAAAAAAAAAAAGTCCCACCTTTGTTCCTCCCTGGCAGGAAAAATGCAACACTAAGAAATAAAATAGCTAACAGATGCTGCTCTTTGACCAAAAAAGGGAACTGCCATAGATTAAGTATGAATTTCATGCTGCCTCCCACAAACCAAATGTGCTGTTTGGATATATGCAGGGATGATCCAGATAGGATGTCAATTTGAAGTAATGAAAGGCATCACTTGCCGAATTTCTGTGTGTCAAGCTGGTGGTATACACCTAAAAAGTAAGGCCAGGAAATAAAATTGCAACCTTACTTAGAGGTATTATTTCTGGTTCTGAGTTCCTTGACTTTATGCAGCTTTTGATTGTGCAATGCAGATGGAACCAAACACAAGGCCGAACTCAAGTTAAGCGGCCATGGTGATAGCCCAGTGTATGATTTTAACAGGAGTCAACCGTAGGTGCATTCTGGTGCAGTGCCTTCCAGCCCCTCCAATTTCAGCATTTAGGTGGCGGGATCAAGCAGCAAGCTGCTTGGGGAAGAAGGCACACATGGGGCTGGAGTGCACCGTAACCCTTGTTATTTGCCAGCCAAGACAGTGTTCAGGGAAGCTCCCTAGGCCTGGAGCCGTGAATGTCTGGAAGCCACCTGCCTCCTCGCCCTGCTGTCCACAGACATTTACTGAAACAAAGATACTGATGGTCTGTGCTGCATCTCTTTCCCTCATAGCGCAGGCATTTTGCCACAAGTGTATCACCTCCGTTGCCCGCTTCAATACTTCCACCCTTCCACTTGAGGTTTTTGTTCTGAAATCAAATGCCCTTCTCTCCTGTCCATACATCCTTTTTTATAAATAAAGGTGAGCTTAGAAGACAGGGTTCTTTAAAGATACAGATGTGGCAGCACAACTAAATTAACACACACAAATATGTGCATTATTTTGTTCTGTGGACCTAAGCCCCAGAGCTTTCCGATCTCTGGCATCGCCCCTGTTGGCCAGGGAAAGAAAACCTCACATACATACCCTTGTTATCTCTGGATCTTTTGGGGGCCTCTAGTGCTGAAATGTTAACACCACCCACCTCCCTTACACTGTCATTTCAGCTTTCTATGGAAAAGTGGGAAGATGTCCAAGTCAGTCATGGTTTGATTAATAAACCAGATGCTGCTGTTCTTATGCATGGCTCAGGACCTGCAGTGGAAAGGCTCAATTGTTCCTCGCCTTCCTCTGTAGACAATTTGGCTGGTGGGGCCTTTTAATGCTTCCTTGATGGCTTCAGTGCCTGGTTCATGAAGGAAAGGATGTTTACCAGATCAACATTCCTTTTTACAAGGTTCACATAACCTGCAGCAGAAAATGCATGCACAGAAGCCTTTCTGCACAACAAAATGCAGGAGCATCCACTTTTTGAAGCAGCTCTGATTAACCTATTTTCTGCATGTTAAAGGTACGGCACTCTTGCACCCATGCAAAGGGAATTGTGCACTCCCGATTCCTCACTCACAGATCTTTATGGGTAGCCAATTTGACACTGCCCAGGCCCCTCCCCGGGCTTTGCAACTATTTCTGATCTTTGTTTTAGATTGAGAAAGAGGTGGTATTATTTAGAAATCATGCCATGATTATGCATTTGCACACTTTTGCCATACTGTCACCCTGTGATTGCGAAATGGAACATACAGAAGGAGGGTAGGGAAAGAAAAGCCCCAAGGGGGACACACAGAGCAGCTGATCTTAATCCTGCGAAGAATCCAGAAGCAGAATCTTGGTAAACTGTTGGGTTAAAAACCTCATGTAGAGAAGTCCCAAGAGGTCTGCTGGAAAACACTAATCCAAAATTGCTTCTGCCACTTTATACAGTTAATCATATCAGTTCTGTACTTTTCCAAAAAAGACACATGGCAATTTTGGTCAGATTTGTCAGTTGTCAGTCTTCAAATTAGTCAATGTTTTATAGAAATTTTAATCTGGACTTCTTATAATCTTAGGGGCCGGCTATTCATTATACGTAATTATGGGTAATTATCTCTCCATGGTTTTTTTTTTTAAAGCAATACTACTTGTTGGAGGCTGGGAGGGAAGATTTGGAATGGAGAAAGGTACAGATGAAGGGGCCAATGGATATTAGCATTGCTCCAAATCAATGCTCCCAAGTGACTCCATTCCGCATCCTTTCTAGTGTTATAAATGCCTCTCTCTCCCTGATACAGAATCTGCTGCCCATCTCTGCCTCTCCTTTTTCTCTGCTCTCATTTTTCTTCCTGAAGTGGATGGCTTTGCTTAAAAAAGAACAGCGTGAACACAGGTGTGGGACGCATTAGGGTACAATCCTATGCACATTTAGACAGAAAAAAAGCCTTATGATTCCCAGCATCCCCTAGCCAGCATGGCTAGCACTCCCAGGGGGATCCTGGGAGCTGAAGGGCTTTCTCCTGTTGAAAAATGGAAAAGATTGTGCCCTCAGTAATTCAGCTCTGCTACCTCTCCATGCCAGTATCTAAATGATTGGAAAATGGCTAGTGGAAGTATGACTACGGGCCAGTATAAAAATGAAAATAATACCTCAAATTCTATTAATTTGCGACCCATGTCAAAATTTTCATGAAATTTTTGTTTGTGACCTGATTTGGTTGTGAACCAAGGCGTTCATGAGCCGAGGTACCACTGTACTGAGTGGGAATACAGAGTGGGAAACAGAAGAGAGGAGGGCGGGGGGGGGAGATACTAAAAATGGATTGAAGGTAGGAAAAATACAACTTTTAAAATCCATTTTTAAGTACGTGAGCCATGTCGCCGGGCTGCGGGCCAAGTCACTGCCGGCTTAACGAGCCCTGGGGCAGCTGCTTGACGGTGGTGACGCTGAAGTCACATCCTTCAATGGGCAAGATGCCGCCGTCGAGCGGCTGCCCCCGGGCTCAGCAAGGCGGCTACGGCTTTCCCACAGAAAGTCTTTCCCCACCTCATCTTGGGCTTCTGCTGCAGCCTGAGGGAGTGGAGCAAACATTTTTAATTATTTTTAAATTTAATTAATTTTTTAATGTGCAGTGTGCATAGAAATTCGTTCATATTTTTTTCAAACTATAGTCCGACCCCCCCAACAGTGAGGGCAGTGAACTGGCCCCCCGTTTAAAAAGTTTGAGGACCCCTCGTCAAAAGCATCTTGGGGCACAATTCTGCTTACGAAAAATGTGCACAGTCCCTGCACATTGTGTTGGTTTTTTGCTGCAGTTGAGCCAAATCCACCCCCACTTTCAGTCAGTGGGGACGGGGTTCAGACCCCTGGCCTACATGGTAACACATTTTGTAGTCTTTCAGGTGTCACAAGGCTCTTTGGTTGTTTTTGTTGCAAGAGACTGATGCATTTTCTCTACCATTGCTAAAAATGGTGACATACAAGTGGGGAGAGGCAGAGCAGGCAAAACTCCTGAGCTGCTGAGTTATTCCTTTTTCGAGGATTCTCCTCAATGAGGCGTTGGCCAGGACGAGGCAGGTTAGTTTCGGCTCTCCCTTAAGAGCTTGTGCTCCCTTAAGAGCACAAACATACCTCTCTGCACATGTGCACATCACCCAGGGCTTCTCAGGGGTAAAGTGCAGGTTTTGAGCTCCACAAAACAGTCTCCCCTTTTCCCCACAGAAATGGATGATAACCACTCACTGGTATAAGTCATGTATAGCACGGTGCCAGCAAAAGCTGTCTTTTTCCACTGGTGACCCCAAAACTGACGGAGGGCCCTGGGTTTTGCACCTCCCCTTGAATGATGGGCATGGTGTTCAGTAACCTGCCCATCCTTCTACCACCTACCCCCAAAATGCCACCTAAAAATACCTTGGGAACATTTTCCCCCTTCCCCCCGTTTCCTCCCTTTCAGAGTGCCTTCCAAAACGGGCTCCTCTGCACATGAGAGTGGATTTTGCTTTTTTTTTTTTTACTTGCTGGACACGTGTACCTGACATGCGCAGAATTAACAGCACGTGCTACAAGATGCACCTGTGGTGCTTGACGGTGGGTGCCAAGCCGGAGCAACTAGTCATCAGAGCAAGAAGGATGTTCTTGTTTTGATAATGAGGACAAAGAGGGACACCGAAGAAGTGCTTGCCTCCCTGGGAGCGTGAGCGATCCTGAAGCTGAGTGCCAACGGCTCCTTTCCTATCACTCAATCTGCTCCATCTTCCCACCTCCCCGAGATTTCTTCCATCCTGGCTTCCCAGGAGGCCCTGGAGGGGGGCTGAAAGGAGGGGCCTGAATGGGCACAGCTGACCTACCGTTCAAGGGACAGTCTGCTTGCGGCTAAGGGCATGGTCCTGGTCTTGAAAGTGTCACAATGGGATGGCATGTTGGGAATTTTTTTTAATGTATACATATTTTACACGTTTCTGCCCCAAGAGAGACAGTATTCACCACAAAAGTAACAAAAAACAGAATCTTGCCAAAACAAAATCGAGCAAAGCAAGAAGAGCACACTTTAAAAAATTGTCTCCAAAAATCACACAGAATGCAATAAATCTGGTGGTAAATTCCAGGTACACGGTTTACATTTCACGACACTGACAATGACACTTAGCCTGAAATGTATGTGCGTTTTGAACTTTGCACAGCTGTGCCTGAATATGAAATTTGTTCTGTTTTAGTAAATTGTGATTTTGTAAAGGGAACCAGGACGGGTGCCATATCCCACATGGAGTTTTTCCCAGAAAACTCTTGTGCTATTTCCCTTAGAATTGGTGCTGTGTCTTGAAACACTGCAGAGGTCAGAGTAGCTGAAGAAGTTGCAGTGACTTCCAGAGAGACGAGGGATCCGCAGAGGCTAAATACTGACAACACAGCCAGTCCTCTAGCTCCACGTTGCGCTCAGCATCCACGGCCCTCTCGGCAAACTTCATCATGAGCAGCGCCCGCTTCATGTCGATCCAGTTGTGAAGGGCCCTGTGGAGGGCTTCCTCGTGGTTGAGAGGCTGGTCCGTCAAGTCTTTCCTGGGACCCCAGAGCAGGCACTGCACAATCCGCTTTGCCTCCGTGATGCGGATGCGCTTGATCGGGTCCGCTTCCAACAGCAGCTGTGCGAGCTGCTGGAGCCCCCGAGAATAGATGGACAAGTTGGGGAGCGCAGGCAGGTCGTCCTGGCTGTACTCCTGCTCTCTGAGGTTGGCCCTCACTTCGAATGGGTTGGGCTGGTGCAGGAGCTCATAGATGAGGATGCCCGTTTGGAATTCATCGAACTTTTTGTACTGAGAGGCTGAGACGATCTCGGGGGCCAGGCGGGCCTGGTTCCTTTTCACGCTGGCCTCAGCAGCCCCCGGCTTCTGCTTGGCTTTCAGAAAGTTGCTGATGATGAGCCTGGGCAGGCGGCCGTCCTCTTTGGTTTTACTACTGCTGCTGCTGCTGCTGCTGGGCAGCGGCCTGCAGTGCACCAGCAGCAAGTTCTCCAGACAAAGGTCCCTGTGGATGACGCCGTGCTCCTTGAGGTGCTCCAGCCCATTGCAGAGCTGGAGGAGCAGGAAGCACACGCGCCGCTCGTACAGCTCCGGCTTCGCTTTGTGGAGAGGCCCCGCGTCCCGCACGAAGTCGGCGGCCGTCTGGTGCGGCACCTCCCGGGTGATGACAACCACGCAGTCCTGCTCAGGGGAGGCGTTGCGCGGGGGCCCCTGGCTGTCCGTGGAGGCGCTCTTCAGCATGCTGGAGGGCACGGAGGCGACAAAATGGCCACAGTCCTGCTGGATGTTGAAGTGGACGGGAACGGAGGGGCTGCAGCAGGAGGCCGTGGCTTTCGTGTCTTGCGTTTTACAAATCTGCAAGCAGAAAAGGGATAGAGGCTGAGAAAGTTTTGTGCAATGAGGGGAAGAGGCAGCCAAGGAATGAAGCATGGGCTGCAGAGAAATGTGCGTCCACAGAGCCACCAGGGCTGGAGGTCTAACTATAAGCTCGCAGGGACCAACCAGGCAGGCAGCCTGGAGGATGTGTGTTTGAGAGCGGTGCAGTTGACTGGTTGCTCGGACCGAAGTGCCAGGCCAGAGACAGAAGCATTATGGGAGCAAGCCTGGCACTCTGTTTCACCTGAGCCTCTCCTGGGCAGGTACTGCCAAATGTACCTGAAGTAACACTTCTGTGTTTTCTTTCAGTTCTTTCCTAAAAAAAAAAAAAAAAACCCAAAAAACTTTTCTGTGAAGACTCTGGCCTAACGATACACCAGTGCCTTTGTACCATTTCATCCCCCTCTATAGCTTCTCCTCAGCCTCCCCGCCCTCAAACTAAATGTAGGCTATAAATAATCAAGGCAGAGTCCTACCTCTTGTTTAAGTTACCTTGCAAAATGTCTTCCAGGCTGATGGGGCTGAAGAAACAAATCATAATCATATTTTGTTTTAGAACTCCCAAAGAAAAAGATGGCTAGGGCTGGGCACCTCACAATAGTTGCTTCTAAACCACTTCTTCTGCACATGTCAATGTATTGTTTTATTTTATAATATATAACAGCAACCTGAAGTCAGGAGCTGCATCCCTGGCTTGTTATCTTAATAACCCTTTAGCTCTGCCACACAGCGAGACTCCTCAATGTTGTGTTTCAAAGCATTTTAATTTGAGAGTTTATTTATATCTGATCCTGAGCTGGAAAGTAGCATAGGAGCCCTCTAGTCTCTGCAGCAACAATCCTGTCTCACTGTCAGCTTGAATGCAAAAAACGAGTCACCTTTGGTATTCTGCAGAAAAATGTTACAATCCCCAAATCCTGCAGTCATTAACTGTCCCTGACCGAGTCTTAAAAAAGAACGTTTCACCTCCCCATTAAAGACAGACAAGAAAGAAAAGAAACAGAAACCTGGATGTTAAGTGGAGCTTGCCTGATTCTCCTGAATGCTTTTCTGCATTTCAATTCATATAGAATCTGAAGAGGTTCAAAAATATCCATGAACAAAGAAATGTATTTAAAAGCGCCTTCTACTGAAGGTCAGTGTTGTCTCTCTTGCAGTTGCCTGATATCACACAAGCGTTTGGTGGATGGGAATAAGTAGGAGCTGGTTTAATGGAACTGTGAACAGTGGCTTTGTTCTGATTGCATGTTATAGTGAAAATATTATTTATTAATATTTTAAATGCTCTTGCTTGAACCTATTAATCGTTGTAAGTGCCTTTCCTTGCTTTAGGTTTGAGGATGGGATGTTTTAAGATGGTAAGGACACAATCCTATGCGACATTCACATGGTGGGCAGACATGCACCTGGTGGGCATGTTGTGAGCGGAGCCGGCTGGAGCCGGGGGTCAGACTCGCTCTGTTTCTATGTATTTAGACAGGAAAGCAACCTGCAACTCCCAACTTGGCATCCCAAGGGAACTGTAGGGCTTATTTTTATCTAAACATGCCTAGGACTGCACCTTAAATGCATTTCTTTGATTTAACTATTACACATACTGCCATTGTTCTCTTAACTTGCTGTGCAGAACTACATTCTTAAAATCCTGTTGCTTTTAAGCACCCAGACTGAGCAAAGGGACACAGCCTGCATTTCCTTTCTAGGGTTGTGCTTAACCTGATCCTGTGATTAAATTACAAGCATGTTTACAGGACTGTCTTAAGGGAGGATAGTTTGAGTGCCACACTGGACGGCAAACCAGGATCTGGGAGCCTGAGCTTCTGCACCTAAAGCAGAGTGTGCGAGAGGAGTAAATTTAGAGAAGCAACACACAGTGCTTTCCCTCTGCCTTTTCTTCAGCCTTCTATTCCCGGCTACAGCACACACCTGCCATTTCTCCCCTCTAAACTGGGACACCCCTTCTTTTTTTACACATCCAGTGCAGCCACACACTCCCAGCCCTATCGAACGCGTAGTTCAGCCACAAGAACGGGGTTTAGGAAGAGAGAATGGTTTGACCCAAGTTTCCTCCCAATTCCACTTATAATTCTGTGCGCGCACACAAGAAAATGACGAACAACAGTGCCTTAGCTCTCAGAGATGACAAGAACCTTGCCTGAGCTCAGACTTCCAAATCGACAGACTTGTTGAAGCCTGACTTGAGGCAGCGAGCTGATCAGAAGCTTCTTTCATGTCTGCACCCAGTGCAACAATCGCAGGGCAAAGAAAGACGACTCAGCTGCTAAGCCCTGAAACTATTGTCTATCAGAAATATTCCAGCAATGAAAATGAAAGCATTCCTCAAAATCGCCTAGCTACATTTCCACACTTGGCTGTTTTGCACGGCAGCTGAGCTGGTCTCTTAGTTCTCTTTTTGGCTCCACTTCAGTGTGCTACTGTCTGCCAGCCTCAGACAATAGAGGGACATTTTGTAATGCGGGGGACACACGCGTGTGGTCTGCAACAGACACAAAAAAGGTTTGTCTCCCTTCTCTTGCAGCCACAAGAGGGTCTGTACATAAACATCTGCTGGGAGTCCAAACCCAGTGAAGGCAGGCCTTTTGCCTTTGTGAAATTGGCACCAGTGCAGACGACACACCGTGTGGTGCATTGAAAATCAGCCCCCAGTTCACACCGTGTGGAGGAAGAGAGATGGCAGAACTTCAAAATTATGCAAGTTTCAGACCTGCCAAGGTCTAGTAAGGATTTGTTTAGGAATCTGAGGCCATCTGTGCAGCCTGCCCCATTTAAAGAGTGTAATCTTATCTCTACCGCAAGGATAGGAAGAGGTGATCACCTGGGCATTTTGTTCTTGTGAAATCTCGCCCCTTTTGTTTAGCAAAAGTTAAGTTTCTAGTCCTGGTGACTAAAGGAAAACCTGAGAATGTGATGGCAACATGCCACCAAAACAGGGATAGGCAACTTTATTGGTCCATGGGCACATTTCTCAATTTGAGAAACTGCCCACAACATGGACATGCTGCAGAAGAAAACACTGACATGCAATCCTAATTTTCTAAACATGCTTCTGGCTTCATGTATGGCCCAGAGGCATTAATGGGGGAAAAAAGATGGGAAAGGCCCTCATTGCACTTTGAAGCCATCTCAGCTGCCAGTAAGAAACTGTGTTATTTAAAAAAATGTGAAAAGTAAGAGTGGTAGGACACCTTGGTGGACACCAAGGAAGGATTTCCAAGGACACACAGGTGCCCTTGAGAGTCCTGCTGCCTCTTGCCTGTCCGGAACGCAATAGCAAGGTGCCCCAAGATGTTCACAAATATTAAGGTCAGGAAAAAGATGGCGACCACAGATGGAGAACTCATTCATTCATTCTGATCGAGCAAGAGGCTTGAGGAAGAGAAATCTCCAGGAATTGCACCCTGCAACTCCAAACAGGAGCATGTGGCGTGTCTGCTCCAGGCACATCACCTGACAGGAATGTAAGTGTCATGCTTCCTCCTAGGCCTGCCGTTATACCTGTGTTGGCAGGGAACCATGACAACCAGGTATAGCTACACCCTGTTGGCTGGATTCCAACCTCTCCGCAGTTCCGCTTAAGGAAGAATTGCTGCTGGCAGGCTAGTCAGCAGGTACCCTGTGAATTCCATGCCCCCTCTGGGTTTTATTTGGCACATTCTGGACCGATTTCTTAGAACCACCTTCTGTCTTTGGGTTTCTGTGCTTGTACTGACTAGGTGCATTAGACTCAACTGTTTGCTGGATCTGTCCTTTTTCAAGCACTCTCTTATCATGGAATGGATCCAGTCCCATTAGGTGCCACTTGCCACTGAATTTTGCCAGAAGGAAAATCTGAAGTGGACTTGGTACTTCTTGCACAGACTGTGTGATGCAAATTGGCTGACAGCAGCTCTCCCAGTAAGACGAAATTCAAGCAAATGTGGAGGATCCTTCTCAGGTGATTTATCTGAGAAATTTTGGAGCAAGCCAAACCACATACCCTCCCCGCCCAACACAATGCCTAGTGAAAATTCTCTGCCTGAGGGTGCACGTTTAGATAGGAAAACTGTCCTTTACCTCCCAGCATTCCCTACCTAGCCATGCTGGCTGAGGGATGCTGGGAGCTGTAGTTTATGTCTAAACTCACACTGGGCTGCATACTAAGTGTTAAAGACTATTCACATTTCTTAGGGGGACTCAAGCAACTCTGGAGGGACCCCTATGTCACCCAAATTCAAAGCAAGTAAGGAGGGTGCTCCACAAGTGAAATAGGTAAGGCATTCCAAGGGTTTCCAGCATGACGCAAGAAATTGCCGGAGGGGTGCGAGGAGGGCTGTCCCCCAGGAGGTGACCCCTCTTTTGACAACAGGATCAGTAAAATGGTCAAAAGGTCAGTGCATGTCATCAGCCCCATGGCCTTCAGCATCACCCAGCCATCTGGACATTGTGGGCCCTCTCGCTCTCCAGATACTCCCCTGGGAATGGCTTCCTCTTCTGCTATGTGTATGTGGGGGGAAAGGGGAGGTGTGAGCGAGGGAGCGAGGCAGGAATAGAAAGAGGCGGGGTAGCTTAGGGAGAGGAAGCTATGCAAAGCTGAACACCTCACCAACTTCCGCCCTGGGGCCCGAGCAACACTGTCTGCAGCCCCGAGGCAAGGCTTCCCCGCCGCAGGACAGTAGCAACCCCGCCGCTACGTACCTTCACTGCGTAGGTGCTCGAGGGGTCCTTGGAGCAGGTGGCGCAGTAATAAATAGCATCCCCAGAATCACAGCAGGGCTTGTTGCAGGTCAGTTTGAAGAGGGACCAGTTGTTCTCGCTGAAGTGCAGCTCGCCCTTCTGGTCGCGCATGAAGCAGTCCTCACATTTGGAAACGAGGCGGCGCAAGGATTCCGCATAGAGCCCCCCCAGCTTGGTGTACACCCCCTCCTTGCTGTCGATGTTGCTGAGGAGATTGTGGAGCTGAAGGCTGGAACCTGAGCACATCTGGGCAGACATGCTGTGCTGGGAGAAAGACCGTGGCGGGAGGTTTTTGTTCTGGCTGCAGCAGGCATTGCTGTTCCTACCAGAAGGCGGGAACGGGAAATGGGATCCTTTGAAGGCTTTCTCCAGCGATTCAGAGGAGGCAAATGTCCGCTGGTTCTTTCCCATGTGGGAGCCAAAGGGAAACTCCTCGTGGGTACAGACGTTACTTTCTGACTGACTACAGTTCAGCTTGGGGCTGGTGGGAACGGCTGCTCTGGCTGGTGAGGCTGGGCCCCAGTAGAAACCGTCAGGCGAAGAAACCGCCCTGCTGACTGTTTTCTTTTGAGGCAGAGGGGGTGGCTGCGAGGGCTTGGAGGGTGGCCTGTCCTTGCTGGGGCATGCGGAGAAATGAGCTGAAGGAAAGATCTGCTTCCCGGTACGCGTGGGTGAACGGAGACTCGCTTTGCATATCTGCCCTGAAACACACCCAGACAGTAAATGAGAAGCCAGAGATTCATGGTTAAATAAAGACCTTTTACAACATGAGTCCTAATATCAGGTTCTGCCCAGAAAGGGAAGGCTTATTAAAGACCGAGAATGTTCTACCTGGGACTCGATCCCAACGTACGATGCAGCACAGGCCAGTGACACAAGTAAAAGACGACCGCGTGACTGCTGGCCTTATTGACCTGCTGGGTGGGGCGGCGGCGGCATGGGAAGCAGTGCCACAAAACCTTCCAGCCCAGGAGGACTTTCCCTTAAGCAGCAGGGAAGCCTTTCCATGCACCTGGACTGACACAAAAGGTTTCTGGGGAGACAGCAGCACCCCAACAGCAGTCACTTTTGTGCAGAGGCTCCGAGACATATTGGAGTATCACCAAATGCCAAGGCCTTTTGCATGTATATGCACACATATGCTTATGCATACATATTACAGTGAAGAGAAAATTCAGTTGAGAGCTTTGGTTTTAGTCTTCATCGATAACACAAAGCTGTTAGATTCCGAGATGATGGTTTTTAAAATAGTCACAATTTATTTGTGCACTGCATTTTCCATTATTGCTTAGCACTCCATTTATTATTAGATTTATATCCCACTTTTCTTGCAAAGAACTCAAAGTGGCTTACACCATTCTCCTCCTCCTGTTCTCAGTCTTATCCCCCAACAATCACCCTGTGAAGTAGGCTGGACTGGGCGCCTGTGACAGGTCCAAGGTCACCCAGTTGGCTGCATGGCTGAGTGGGGACTAGAACCCAGGTCACCTGAGTCCCAGTCCTGTCTCTTACCTACTACCACACACTGGCTCAATGGGGTTCACACGCAACAGATAAAGTAGCCACCAGTATAATCCACTGCAAAAGAACGGGAACAAAGCAATTCCAGTTCATTCAAAACAAATAGAAGGTTTGACTTCAGGTGGTCTGGAGGCCCATTTCCAGCCACCAGGTTCCCCCAGGAGCCACACTTGTGTCACCCAAACTGCAGTGGAGATCCCCAAGGGCCATGTTTAGCTCAAAAACAAGCTAAATCTGGCACCTTGGCACCTCCGTAACAGTTTGCTGCTGAATTTTGGCAGTGACTTCTTTGCTGCTGCACCATCAACTTCCAGCAGTGTGGGGGCAGCAGGAGAGGAGAGGTGGGGCTGCACTCAAGGCCACATGTGGCCACAGCTGCTCTGAATGCTGCTAAAACATACTGACAGTGCGGTCCTACACATGTCTGCTCAGAAGTAAGCCCCACTGAATCCACTGTCAGACTGGGCATTTATCTGCTCTCTCGGTTCCTCACTCACAGGAGTTTGGGGTGCTTTGCAAGGCCTCTTGCCCCTCTGCAGTGCCCCCCGTTGCTTACAACTGTCTTAACAGGTGGGATTCCATGCAGGTAATCACAGAAGAATGCAGAGTTAATGGCACAACATAAAATAGATGCCACTCGACTCATCCTCACTTTTGATGCCCAGACAATAACTCTAATTATTTTTGCCTACAACCTCAAAACATCCATGCCATCGGTGCCTTGTTCAAAAGCACGGGCAGGGATCAAAGGTCTTCTCAATAAAACAAGCAAACAGATGTTGATACAGGCCTGGAACTTTCCCATTCATCTCCCACCCTTCTTCTACAGATGTACCACACAGCGGGTAATCCCACCGTCAGTCAACAACTGATGGCTCAGGTGAGGCGAAGGGCCAAAGTAGAGGTGATCTTGGCCCTGCCACAGAGTCCCTACACTGTGGCAGAGTGGGGAAGGCCAAGCCCTCCAGCGTCTCAACACCCTGAGCATTTGGTTCTAAAATGCTGCACGCAGCTTTGCTTCCTACCAATCCTGCCAAGGATGTTTCAGCTCCCCATTCACTTGGGTTCCCCATAAGATAGGAGAGTTCCAAGAAACCATACAGGGATGCTTCACCACAGGTGAACTGCCCCACTCAACTTCTGTGAGAAAAATCACCTGAAGCAGACTCCCCCTGCCCTTGATTAGCCTTGCACATCCCTCTGCCACTGCTCAGCAGCATCTTTTCCTGGCAGGACACCACTGTCTGTGCGGCACAGAAGACGGCCAGGAGCCACGCACAGGGAAGCACTGCAGCCCACGCCATCCTTTCCTGGGAAAGGCACCTTGTTTTCCTCCCTCTCTGCAGAGTGGCAGAAAACAGATGGAAGGCTATGCAGTTCTGTGCTGGCTGAGAAAAGTTTCCTCCTTTGGGGCCAGCCTCGCAACGCAGCCCACTGTCAGAGACGGGACTCGGCACGCTCCCCTTTCCTGCCAACCCGCTGGTCTGTGCAGAATGCTCCTTTTGGGGTCAAGGAGTAGGATGTTCATTCCTCCCCAGTTCCTCATTTTAAAACCCATCAAGCTTCATTAGCGGCAACTTGTAGAGCTGAAGTGTGAAGCCCTATGGCACGTGTGGCGTTCCTTACGTGCCGTGAACTGAGAACAATGCAATTCCTAGATCTGTACGGGAAGCAAATGTGTCCAGTTGAGGAAATTTTATTGGAAGATGGAGTCAATGTTGTGTTTTGAAGACAACTTGGCTCTCATCCACAGCACCGGACAGTAGCTGCCAAAGAGTCGTGAATATGGTACAGAGTAAATATTTAGGCAACGTGGCGAGCTGTGTGTGGACTTGGGGAAAAACACATACCTGCTCAACAACAGATCCTGGAGAAAAGTTTGCTTGGCTGCAGCATGGCTTTCTTTAACAGAGTAAGTCAAAGACTCCTGTGTGGTATTTCCCCAGACCTGTTAGTGGAGGAACCCTTCTGTTCTGTGCTAAAATTCACTCTCCCTCTCAGAAAGGGTTGCTTTGTGGTAAGCAGGAGAAAGAATTTGGCAGCCCACGGGACTCCACTTTCCGTGTTTCTGCGTGAGTCACTGGTTGGTACACCTCCTGAATCCCAGCCCAGAGCAGTCAATCTCAAAGAGACAAATCAAACATTCTCTTCTTTGGCTGATGACTTCAGGCTAACAAGAGATGTTCTCTATTTCATTTTGACAGCTCATGAGCCATTTCCCCTTAGCACAGAAGTTTGCTGCAGCGTACTGCTTGGGAATTATGGAGTTGGAGAAAAATGTCCTGTTGCCTACAGAGCTGCTTTCCAGCTTTGTTCCTACAAATGTCGGGCTTCTCCAGAAGCTTGTCAAGGACCCACGACTGTGGTGGCAACAGGCCCTTCGCCACAAAACGGCCAAACTCTTTGGAGTTGGTTCCATATTTGGGCCACGCAGTGTAGTTCAAATTTGGTGAAGGTTCTGTCAACAGGTGACTGTTATGGGCTGTTAGCTTCCCTTCAGTTAGCATGGTTTGACAAGTAAGGGTTCTCTATCTCACACATGTATCACGAGAGTAGCAATCTGACAGTGCTTCACACAGTGTTCTGTGCTACCTGAACATTTCTGCAGCTCTTTTTGTTTGCTTTTGAGAAAGTGTGCTATTATTGGAAAGTGCTGGAATAAATGGAAACATTTGTGTATTTTCACAATTCCACTATTCCACAGTGCCACTTTTGGTTGTATAATGGAACATACAGCAAGGCAGAAAAACGAAATCCTTAGGAGTAAAAAGGCATGTGCGAAGGAGCCAATCATCTGGACACAGAAGCCTCAGCAAAGTGGCAGGTTGAAAACCTCATGCACAGAAGCCCTTTGAACAAGGGCTAATTAATGGGCAACAAAAGCAGTTTATTTATTTATTTATTTAAAACATTTCTATGGCGCCCCATCGCAATAAAGCCTCAGGGTGGCTCACAAAACATCAATAAATAACAATACAATAAAACCCCAATACAATAAAACCCCAGTGCAATAACATCTCAGTGTATTCTCGGCTAAAAATTAAAAAACAAACAAAAAAACCCTAGTTAAATAAATAAATTAACAATTAAAATAAGTTTTAAATAAAAAGGTCTTAGCCTGGCGCCAAAAAACAAATAACGACGGCGCCAGGCGGACCTCTCTGGGGAGCGCATTCCATAAATGGGGCGCCACCACAGAGAAAGCCCTCCTCCAGGTATTCACCCTCCTGATGTCATTCACAGATGGCTACTTATATTTAGAATCACAGCCCTGCAAGGTGGGTAGAGGTTACAGAAAGGCTTTTCTGATCTCTTACTGAGAAATTTAATGTAGACAGAGAAAAGCGACTAAGATTGGCTAGGAAATGGAGGGCTTGCTGTATTGTTGCTTTGGGGTGGATTGCTGCTTGCTTGCTTCTGTACCTCTGTAATATTTGCTCAAACTGTGAACAATCCCTGCAATGAAACACAAGAATCTTTCAATGTTCTCCTCTCCGAAGGAGAGCTTCCAAGGGGGAAGTGCCATGTCAATTACAGCGCCAATTTCCTCTTGGATGACTTGGGGAAATGGGAGGGCAAAACACCCCCTCTGCAGAGCACTGCAACACCATGTCAACAGATGAAACTGACCTACCTCCATTGCTGATGGTGTTTGCGTCCAAATTCAAACTGTCTGTGGAGCCAGCTGTGAAAGTGACGTGGATCCCCTGGAAAGTGGGGCTGAGGTGTTCTGTAGAATCGCTGTCCAACCTCTCCAGCTCAGAATTGCTTTTGTTCATTTTAAGAAAATGCCTAGAGATGGTGGGAGGGGGAGAGGGGAAGGCACCATGAGAATCTATGTAGGACACAGTTGCGTCTGGTCTTGCAGAATGTGGCTATGTCTACACAGAAGCCCCCTGTGGCGATCCTTTTTGTTTCAGGTTGTTTGTGCCCATTCCTCCTGGTCCGACATGGGTTTTTGTGCATTGGTAACGCAGGGCAACAAACAGCATCAGATAAAAGCAAGGAGACCAGGCAAAGGAGAGAATAGTTTCGGCATGCAATGTTAAAACCTAGACATGTCTCAGCCTGGTCAGCAGCTGGATGGGTGACTGCTTGGAAGAATCACATAAACCTCTCGGAGTAAACCAAACCAGGACTCCTATGCAAGGAGTTAAAACAATTCAGTTCTGAGGAGGTGGAAAGAGGAGTCAAAAGATATAAAATCATGTTCTTCTGCACGGGTATTCCAAAGCACCACTCCTGGTAATAAGCTTTTGCATCACTATTTTCTGCACTGCATTCCAAATTTGTTGCAACGAAACAAAAAGGACACCTGGATTTGTTCTGCTCTCATCTGTTCACGATTCCTCTCTTCATAGCATGGAGGCTTCTACATATAGAAGGCAGAGCAGTAGATTTGCTTTGATTTTCTGCAAATGGTACATTTGCAAAAAACCCAACTAGGGCACTCTACTAATTATTTACCAAAGAAGAGCAGATTTCCAAGGTGCAAACCATCAAACCTACATATTCAGCATGTCTTATCAGCAGCTGAAGATCATATCAAAACCTTATACAATTATTTTCTTATCAAGCTGTTATGCTCTAAGAGCATGATTTGCAGTTCCTTTCTTTACAACGCAATGCTGTGTTATTAAACTATAGAAATGTTCCTTTATAAAACAACTTATTCCCCAATCCTGAGCATATTTATGTAGTGCTCCTTGATTTTAATAAATTCACTTTCGAGCCAACATACTAAAGATTTCAGTCTTAGACTAGCTGGACACCCCTTTAATAGAGACATTTTATTTCCATCTCACCTCAATTGTTTACATGTTTTTCTTTACGTGTGTGTGTGTGTGTGTGTGTGTGTGTGTGTGTCCACCAACTGTGGATATTATTTCATGCACCTGATGAATTGGACTGGAGTTCACAAAGCTTATTCCACAATACATTTGTTAGTCTTTCAGCTGTCTTATTTTTGCTGCAAAAAACTAATAGAGCCAGTGGTGCCAAATGGGCAGAACTTTGGGCCAGAAGTTCCCCTCGGCAGAATGGGTGGTAGGGTCCCTATAATGCAGAGGCTAGCTTGCCACTTTCTGGACCTGTGTACAGGTAACAACAGTTCTTGATTAGTTTATTCCAGGACTTGTTGTAGCTGAGAGAGAATGAGTGTGTTTAGGACTTCCAGTCAACAACCCAGGAATTGTTGTTGTTGTTGTGATGTCCAAACCTGGAATTTTGGGTTGATAAGGTGTTAAATAAGCCACAGTTTAACTCATCAAAAGAGAATGGGTGATTGTTGGGTAAACTCTCAGCTTTTGCGTTGAACGTTGGAACATTCAAATAAAATTGGGCAAGGTTTAAGATCATTTGCAAAGACAGCCAATGTCAAATACTTGTCAATATTGTTAAAAAAAAAAAAAAAGGATAACCAGAGGCCTATTTGGTCTCAATTTTTTACCATCTTGGAATGTTTAAGAGTATCTCCACAAAACACATATATTCATATATGTATCTTCATCACCCCAAAACTCTTTTCCCAGGTTAGCAGTTTTGTTTAGGGTCTACACACACACACACACGTCTTGCAGAAAGGGAGTCATATGGTAACTCCAACACCATCCCTCATTCCTATTCAGTTCAATAGTTCTAGAATTGCTTAGCCTTGTTTCTTTCAGAACCTGTTCACACAGAAATGTTTGCATTCAAGCTAGTATTTAATTAGGGAAATATTCCACCTAAATATCTACAAGGTAGCTAACAAAATTATTACAATCTGTAATAAAAACAAAATAATATCTTAAAAAGGAAAAAAAGTCAACATGACAAGAAGCACTGATCAAGGAGAGCCATCCACCAGTTTCTAAGGGGAACTTACCATCCCAGCAAATGGTGTAAAACCAGAAGGTCAAACTTTTGTCCGGGAGGGTTTGACATCCTCGCATGGAGTCACACTAGTGCCATCCGAGTGGCAGAAGCATTCGGTGGCACCGTTTCAGGACTGCAAATGATTGTCTAAAGCGGGCCAGCTGCCTCCACCAAGCACCGCAGCACCGATTGTGGTGAAGTCATATGTGAGGAAAGGACTCTTTATTCCCACTGTCCTCATGCCTTATGCAAAATGCACTTTCTGAATAGGGATAAAACTGAAAGAGAAATTTGCTGCTGCTTGGGGAATGGCAGCTCTTGGTCTTAGATATTGCTGTCATGCCAAAGAATAACCTCCAGCACTTTCAGCTCATGTTATATATAGCAGCATAAAAGTACATGGGACTTTTCAGAGAAGCAGATTTATGTAAGTACTCATTTAATTTACAACAAAAAACCAGAGTGTTCCATGGGAGCTTACATTTAAATTCCACCAGTCCAGGAGGCATGTGAGCGGGGATGGGGGGGTGGGGGGAGAAAAACAAAAGACTGCCATGAAAAACTAAAAGAAACAAGAAAAAATTACAACATGAGAATTTCAGAAAATACTGCCAAAGCAATGTCTGTGCACTGTCTGGTATGGCGAGTCAGTGCTATCAACAGTTCAACCCCACAAGACGATGCATTATAATGTATTAATGTCTTCATTATATTTGCATCATCACCACCAGCACCATCTTTCATCTCTCCTACATGTTGGTCGACATCGGCTTTCCTTGCTCTGGCACCCTCTCAGTGTGTTGGAATGCAACTCCCATAATCCCCAGTAAGCATGTTCAAATGTGCATTATAGACGATGCTGCGCGATGCATCATGAGGCCAGGGAAGGCTGGCCTACCTCTTATATTGTATCAAGCACTGGGGAAAGACAGCAAATAAGGTGATGGTGGAGGGAAGTGGAGACTTGGGTCGAAGGAGAGGAACTGAAGGGAAAGTTGAAATTTGTTGGGTGAAAGAAAGGGAGGCAGGAGATTATGGCCAGCAAATACACCCCCACCTTTGTTTCTATAGAGGATGGTTAAGACACAGAGTTCAGGGAAAAGGGACGTGAGGGAAAAGAGGTCCTTCAGAGGTGCACCTTTTCAAAGAGGGGCAGAAAGAAAAATTTTCTATGGCCCTCTGACTGTGGAGGGTGGATATATGCTGGAATGTGTCAAGCAAAATGCTGGTCACATGTGTCTAGTCTATTCCTAACACCGATGCATATAAAGAAACAAGATGATCCCTTCAGCTTCTTAAGTTGTACACAGCATCTTTCTCCATTTAAGGGCATTTCCTTTTCTCTTTCTGGAAAAGAGTTCTGTGGAATTTAAAAGCTTGTCCATTTGCGAGGAAGAGAAATCTGAAATAAATGGGGATACTGCATTTCCAACTTACTCAATTCAGAAGAATGCAGTGAAATGGACCACTTGGTCATAGGCATGAAAGGAAATGAGGCACTGCACTATGAAAGCTCGGTCATCTTTCAACAAGATCAGTCCCCGTTCACTGAGGTCACACAGCGAACTGTGCTACATATTTAAAGGACCAAAAACAAAAGAAGAGATAGATAAAAGCTGCGGTTTTCCTTTTGTTCCTTACCCTAAAAAGTGGCACAGAAGCACACACTGCTTTGCTCATGAAGCAAAACTCAGAATGATGCGCGAGTGAGTGGCTGGCAGCACTTGGGAGGCAGCAGATGCAAATCATTAAACACCCCAACAGCACAAACTTGTTCTTTTCTACTCAGAAGTCCCAATGAACTCAATGGGGCTCAGTACCCAGTAGGACTGTAGCCCTAATTTGGATTCGTAACACTCCTATTTCAATATAAAAAGATACATAGAAAAGTACAACATTCATCCAGAAAAAATGTGGAAAGTGCGCTCAATTTTCCTGCTTCATTTACAGTTTACAGGCAAGCAGAGTGCCAAATGCACAAAGCCTGCGGGCATACATGAAAATTTGGAGGAGATGAGGTGCCAGGTCTAACACTTTGGCAGGGCTAAGGAAACTGGCACAATTAAGTTCCTATACTTTCCAAAGTACATAAAGCAGCAGTCCCTGCTAACCGATGCCAACGAATTAACACAAACACGAGCATTTCGAGACCTAGCTAGTTTTACATCTGAATAAAGCAAAGATGCTTTTTTCAGTAGTGGAGATCTGACTTAAGAAAAACTGTCAAAACCAGAACTCATTGTTGATAATGGAACATTTCCCACAGAAAGACTTTCCTCTTCTTGGGTTTTCTTACTCAAAAAGCACTGCACAATCTAGAAAATCTGTTTATAAGTACAATTTCCTATACATTATCAAAGCAAACTATATAGCGAAGGGAAAATGGAAGATGTTTATGTTAATGAGATGGAACAACAATGAAAACATGACAAAGACATGAAGAATCTTTCCCAGGCTCCAGTTGAGACAGAACGTAATAAAATCTTAATACCTTAAGGCTGCCTTTCCCAACCCGCTGTTCTCCAGATGTCTTAGACTATAACTCCCAATTACAACTGGGAATTGGAGTGCAACATCTGGAGGGTGCCAGGTTGGGAAAGGCCTTAAGGCCTTTCTGGTTCCACAGACGTCTAAGGCTTAATGAAGGTTCTTTGCAAAAGAATGTTGAAAGATTAGGTTTGGACCAGGTATTTCAGGTATTCTCACGAATGACCGTCTTGCAAAAAGCCCAATGAACATAATCCCATGATGTCTGATGGTGGAAAGCTTTAAAGTCCTAAAGTACAGAATTGTTCCTGGAGTTCCAAGCTTCAGAAAGTTGCTTTCTTAGCCTGAGGATTGCATATATTCTTAAAAATAGCTACTGATGGATATAAATTAGGCAACACTTGATAAATCTAGTTTTTATGCTTACATTTCAAATTTGACATATGGCA